AAGAGCGGTCAAAAATTAAACGAAATATAATCTTGGCCACAAAATACGTGGCTGCTGTATTTTTGGGATGTTCGGGGAGAAGGAAAAACAAATCTTTTGGACGCTGGAAAGTTCAAGAACCCCATGAAACCATCAGCACGAAGCACGGAGACGACTTGCCATCGACACCGACACCGATACCAACACCGACACGCCATCAGCCGGCTCGCTGGCTCACTGGCTACGCTGTTGAATGGACTATTTCCCGTGCCCCATACTCCAAAGCACTCCCACTCCACTCCCGAGAGACAGGGAAAACTTTACCCCGCACTACAAACGAAAGTGAGTCTCCCCTCCAAGTTCGAGAATCTTCCCATCTTCACCCTCTTGCCATGGATAGAGAGAACGAAGAGCATTTTTGGCGCACAGCAGAAGAAGTTCATTGAACTTGAGGGCCAAGTCGGAAGCAGTTCCAAAGCTAAACACACCCAAACCCGAGAGTATTCGATTATTTTGTAGCTGTGGGGTTTTGGTGGTTGCAAAGAAAGAAAAACCAGAAACACTGGCAAAACATGCACAGATATCTACGTGTGGTTAGGTGGAGGTAAATTGGTTAATTTACTTATGGGGGGGCATGTGCCACACCCTTTAACTGCCTCCCCCCAACAGGCAGTTGCAGATGGTGGTTCTGTCGCTGGTTGTCTGTGTGTCTTTGAAAGCGAAAATGCTGTTGCATACTTCGAGGCGACTTCGTTTATAGAGCAACTCAGAGTACAAATTGGGAAAGAAAAAGCTTTCGATGGGGTTTCTCTTAGCTTGAAAGAGATCTTGAATGGCTATATGGAATTTCTTGATTAAAATGGAACTTGTGGGTCGCAATAATTACATTTGGAACACCGAAAAGGATATATTTTCAGAGATGCCTTTGGTTGAGCTTGCCTTGGCCTTGAGATGTTTTTAACTGAAATATCTTCTGATTACTGATCTAAAACCAATGTAAATGCTTATAAAGCCTCCTAATTGATTTAAGAAAAATGTGGAATAATCCTCTGTACATATGTAGTTGAAGCTATTTTTCTAGAGGTGGCTTAAGTGGCTTTAAGTGACGTTTAAGTGGCTTAAATATATACCAGTTTGGCCATTAGTCGGCACATAAAGAGCAGCTTAGTGCAGAAGCCCTATAAATGACATGGGACTAGCATGTACTAAGCAAATGCCAGTACTCGCTGACTATTTCTTTTCGTGACTACCTTCTGGCTGTCTCTAGGTATTTCTAGCATAACAACAGATCTCTGTACATATTCTTACACGCTTTCGAACTTGACACTGGATTAACTCACAAAAACTTCTCTCTCTCTCTTTTTATATACAATCTGTCTGTTTAAACAATAAGTAAATTGTATAATTAATACTAAATTAACAGAAATAGCAGTTTTCCAATGAGCCCTGCTATTATATATAACATCTTTTCTGTTTGTTGCATTTATCATTTGATCAGACTTAAGGTTGTGGAGTCTGTCGATGTATTTCTTACAAAGTCTTTGATTGGTAACGCTGAAGTATCTCAATATTTGAGTTGCTAGCAGGCCCCCAGAGCTGTATAGCGTAGGTCCAAACAGGCTTCAGTATGGATTTGTAGAGGCGAATTTTGTTTTCCAAAGTGGTTTCTGATTTTCGACTTATCAACCAGGACAAGTCTGAGTTGTTGACATTTTGCTTTAATGTGGGTTTTCCATGTTAATCTGCGGTCGAGATGCAAGCCGAGATACTTCATCGAAGGAACCAGTCTTCAATTAGGCTTAGCTCACACTGCAGGAGTTCGGAAGCTTCATTTATAGACGGGCTTGTGGCTTAAACGGGACGCCTGCGTAGACGAGAAGTAGTGATGATGTATCGGTTTTCTGCTGCACGTAAAAGCATCTTTTAGCCAGATATGATTTGATTAGTAAATAGTACGGACCAGGTATTGACCTCTCCTGAATCCGAATTTTTTATTCAGGAATGATGGAAAGATCGTTCAAAATTGGCAACATTCTCTTCAATAGTATTTTTTCAAACACTTTCGAGAACATTGTCAACAGACAATTCTATTTTGTTTGGCTTTAGGATCATAATGATCTCTGCACATTTCCGTTGACTTGGAAAGTGGCTTTTAGCTGGTTTCTTTAGGTATTTAGTAGCCCTCCAATGAATACAACCCATTGTTGCACCTTAATCCCAGATTCAAAGAGTCTATGCGTCGATCTCTAAGTAACGCATTCAAGCTGTCGTCAACAGATTCGAGTCTACGTCGGAACAACATATTAGAAAACAATCGTCCCATCACTCAAAGAACGGTCGCAGAAGCGTCCAAGGAAAATCAAACATAAAAAACAGCTTCAAGCCAACTTTCCATGTTTTGGTTTGGGAAATGTCCAGGCTTATAGCTGAGTCTAAATAGCTTTTAAATGCGTTAATGTCTGTAGAGGCTGTAATGACTTTATAGACCTTTTCCAACATATGGGCTATTGTGCTGTAAGTTGCTATTATTGGAGAATGATCTGAGTTAAGGTCAAAGCTCTCCATTACTCGCATGTGTGATTGTGGGATTCCAGAGAATACTATGAAATCAATCAAATCTGGAATTTTTCGACTATCAGTTGGCCAGTATGTGGGCACACCAGTTGACAAAGTTGTTATTATATTGTTTCGTACGCATTTGTATAACTCGGATCCCTTCGGGTTAGCCAATCTGGATCCCCACCATGGATGTTTGGCATTGAAGTCGCCTCCCACGATAAACTTTGTTCCCAATCCTTGGACAAAGTTGTTAAAATCGAGTTCTTTTATTGTGAATCTTGGTGGGAGATNTCATAATGATCTCTGCACATTTCCGTTGACTTGGAAAGTGGCTTTTAGCTGGTTTCTTTAGGTATTTAGTAGCCCTCCAATGAATACAACCCATTGTTGCTGGAATTAGGGTCTAAGTTTCTCAGATACGCAGCTAGAGATTCATTGCGTAAGTTCGACAGCAGTTGTCTAAGCTCAGATGCAGCCTTGTTGTATAATCTTTTGTTAGCAGGGTAGTGAGTTTCTTGCCAGCGTCTTCGCAGGTTCCTTTTAGTTTGTATTTTTTGTCGAAGTTCGGTTGAAAGGTACAATTGGTTTGGGAAATGTCCAGGCTTATAGCTGAGTCTAAATAGCTTTTAAATGCGTTAATGTCTGTAGAGGCTGTAATGACTTTATAGACCTTTTCCAACATATGGGCTATTGTGCTGTAAGTTGCTATTATTGGAGAATGATCTGAGTTAAGGTCAAAGCTCTCCATTACTCGCATGTGTGATTGTGGGATTCCAGAGAATACTACGAAATCAATCAAATCTGGAATTTTTCGACCATCAGTTGGCCAGTATGTGGGCACACCAGTTGACAAAGTTGTTATTATATTGTTTCGTACGCATTTGTATAACTCGGATCCCTTCGGGTTAGCCAATCTGGATCCCCACCATGGATGTTTGGCATTGAAGTCGCCTCCCACGATAAACTTTGTTCCCAATCCTTGGACAAAGTTGTTAAAATCGAGTTCTTTTATTGTGAATCTTGGTGGGAGATAAGTCGCTGTTATTGATACACCTGCGTGCATGCATTTTATCTGAATTGTGGCAGCCTGCATAGCGTTTCCCTAGTACTGTCCATGATTTGAAATTTGTTTGCCAATAATTGCAGCACCTCCATGAGCTCTATCTGATGGATGGTCAGCTCTTACTGTGTCGTATCCAGTAACTCTAAAAAAAGATTTGCTTGTGAAGTGTGTTTTTGAAAGAAGCATGACGTCAATGGCAATCGTTTTTAAAAATAAAGATATTTCATTTCCATGGTTGGAAAGCCCATTGGCATTCCATATTACAAGTAACATTATCATGTTAAGTAAATTATTGGTAAGTTGAGATTGTTTTTCTAGAAGCTGTTCGATTCTTTCTAGAGACTTGTTCGAGGTACTATTTCCTGCAGCAACTTGGGTCGACTTATTAAACGGAGCAAATGATTGAGATGCAGCAAGATCATTTTTATTATTGTCATCTTTGGTGTTTCTCAGCTGGTTGCTCTTTATCTTTTGGGCAAATGTTGCTGAGATGGTTAAGAGAGAATTTCACACATCTGTGAGTTTTGGCATAATATGACTTTGTGTGTCCCAATTCCTGGCAACGAAACCACTGAACGATTTCTTTGGTTTTACGGGGTATATATTAACAACTGTGTTACGAATGAGTTTAACTTTGTAAATATCTAAGTTCTTATTGTTGCACTCAATGTCTAAGTAGAACAAATTCAATGACTCTTTTAACAGCGTGACCTTTGGACTCCACATCTTGTTTGATTAAGTCGATATGCGTTGAGAAGAGCCAATTCTTAATAACAACTCTGAAGTTTCCTGTATTCTTCAATAGACTTTACCATAACTCTCACATGACCATCGCGTTGTACTTTATAAAAGAAAAGCTCTTTTTTAATTGAATTCTCGAGGTAAACTAGCATTCCTTTTATGTCACTGACTTCAGATAAGCATATAGGTGGCGACTTGGCAGATTCATCTAAGGTACCTTCAGTTATCATGTCCAGTGCTTCGTTTTCATCTTCGTTTCCGTTATTTGGCGTGCTGAGAGACTTGGTTCTGTCTCTTGATCGCCTTTGGCTTCTTGGTTTTACTCTCTGCCAGTTCCAAACCGTTGTGTCGTCTTCGTCGTCGTCCATGATAACAACAACACCTTGTATTGCTCATCAGCCACTGTTTTGTTTGCTTTTGTTTTGTGAATCGAATAACTGTTAATAGTAGTTTGCTTTATATTTCTTTACATAATAATTTGTAACGTATTTTTGTTGTTTGTTGATTTATTCAAGTTTGCTTTACTTTCTTTTGTTTTGTTCGCTTAATAGTTTTACACATTCATACAAAATATATGTAAATCTGCTTCATTGTCCTCTTCAATTGTCCAGGTTGGGTTGTTCATTTTTAAATAACGTATAAATTATATAGAAAAATGTACATTTTCCTTTGAATTTAATGTTAATAATACGCTTTAACATACATGTGTAAGGGGAGGATCCATCAGCAAACCGATTGTGAAAATAGAAATAATGTATATGCCAAAACGCATCGGATGGAACATGAAAAAAGACTTCAAGCCGATTTGTGAGGGCCGCTGCTTGAATGGTGCAAAAACAATTTTTTTTAACCAACAAATAAAACCAAAATGAACCCTAAACTCCGACTGTCCGTGGAACATCTGTGTGAATGGGCTGGTGCAATAGTTAAATAATCTTATTTAAGTGTCCTTAGTAGCGTTCTCCTGTTCCCTTACTGCGCTGGCACCGGCGTTGGGTGGGGCGCCAAACGGCTGACAATGCCAATGCCGCCACGAATAATTTTGGCAACGGCAGGTGGAGAACGAGCGGCCAGCGCCTCAAAGGTGATTCGCAGCTCGGCAAAGGCGTTTCGGGGATAGGGATTGCGGCGTGAGGTATAACGCATCACCACATAATGATAGTAGATGATGGGTGTCATCAGGCTAGCGTGGCTCCTAAGGGGGCAAACAAGAAAATGGATTATTAAACAACAAGAAAAACAACGACAAACTGAGTGCAACTCACATAAAAGTCAGTACAATGGCATAGGGCATAATGAAGATCTCGCAGAATGCTGTGGCCTTCAGTATATTGGCCGCCTGGAACTCCACAATCGAGATGATGAAACGTGCGCCCCACCAAGAGTTCTGGCCAAGCAGCTGTAACAGAAGAGACTCATTAAGTTGCAGTCAATCAAATTGCAATCGTTTCTTACATCCAACAACTTGAGTGAATAGCTGGAGGCGTGCAGCACAGAGTAGAGCAGCACGGGAACCAGCACCAAGAGCGAGGGACGTATGTTGAAGAAGATCAGAGAGTACACCATGTAGTGACACGAGTCTTCGCCAAATAATTTGCTCAGAAATTCGCGACTGAACGAGAAGGCGGGCACACGTTGATGCAGACGAAGGGCAGAGATGGCCGCATTGGCCAGCAGCACCTTGGTGAAGGAGCTCTGTTGTGAACTGTAGATGGAAGGTATAGTAATTTTAGATTCTCTATGTGTGTCTCTATTTGATTACTCACGTGAATATGGGCAAAACATAGCTCAGGGTAAAGAAAATCGATAGCAGACGCAGTGCCCACAGGGCGCAGTCAATTCGATTCGTTTGGATATGCTGCAAGAGCTTGGCCGTCGCATTCTGTGGCTGGTTCTGGTTCTGGTTCTGCTGCTGCTGTTGTTGCTGCTGCTCCCGCTGTGATGTGCTCTCAGAGCCATTGGTCTCGGCGCTATCGAAGCGCGGTGGCTGTTCGGTGGATGTGCTCATGATGAACTTGTCGTTTGATTGCTGTTCACCTTACTGGGTTTCTTGGTCTGCAAAAGAGAGAGAAAACGTAATGAGTTTACTTTTCAGGCGTTATCAGGCGGTAATTCTATTCTTATCTCTTGTGGGTATTGGGCGCTGATAAGCTAACCCCCCCAATACCCCTACCCTGACTAGGCAACAACCAACCATATCCAATGCCTGAGTGTGCTCTTCACCTTTAGTTTAGTGTAGTTTAGTTTCTTTCTTTATAGTTTTTCTCCTCTGCTGATCTACACTCAATGTGAACTTATGACTGAGATCTCAAGTCGGTTTAGGGCTGTGGCACAGCACGCGTTTTGGCTTTCAATTGAAATTTTGTGGCTGCGGCTGTTAAACCAGTCAAATGGAAAGTTGCAAACCGCCAGACACACTTCACAAAGGCCACTTAAAACACAAAGAATGGGCGTGTCAAAGAGGCGTTTTAATGGTCACGTTGACTCAAGATGATACGACTGCAATTACAGACCGAATAGCCATGTTTTGCATAGGCCACAAAACACACAGAAAAGAAATCACAAAAGGGTTTAAAATGTAGTTATAAAAAAAGCGAAACTTAAATGCTCTGCAGATTGTTTATGAATAATATTTAATTCTCTAGCTTCAGGCAGCAATTTTTGATGCAAGAAGCACAGTAAACACGCCACAGATTCCGCAATTTCCACGTAAAGTTTAACACAAACATGCAATTACAGCCAAAGACAGTTGAGCGTGAGATGATACAACTGACTGACTGACTGACTGACTGGCCACAATGTGCAGTGCATGTTGGTTACGAAATACACGTCGAAATATTAACACAGACACAAATATGGCCAAACAGGTGGCTGCCACACAGCGTGTGGAGTGGAGTGCGAAGGAGAGGCAGAAACACATACAGTAAGAGGTACCGCGGAAGCAAGAGTTGAGTGAACACTAGACACACAGACAGAAAGAGCGAGAGAGAGAGAGAGAGACGTGCGGCGGCGCAGCGGTCAGTGTGGTACCTCCTACGTGTATGTATGTATATGTATGTACATACATACATATGTAGATGTTTGATGAATGATAGAGGCTAAAGGCAGGTCATTAGGTGTCATTTAATATGCAGGCGCTTGTGTCCTTAAATATGTCATCATTACTATTGATTTTAAGGCGAGTTCTTCAAAGGAAGTGGGTCAAGTACTCGAACTCGGGCTAGCACTTTTGATAATTGACTTTGTTCTCGATTATTCATGCGAAACCACAAAATTTGGATGAAATATGTATAATGTGACGTCACGTGGTCGAGCAAACAGCAAGGAACACGTCAGAGGTAGAACAGAACAGCACACGGGGTACAAGAGCTCCCTCACAAATTGCCACCGGTTGACATGTCTGAACTTTAAATAATAAAATAAGATCAAAAATGACAAAGCTGAATATGTAGATAGAGCCACGATATGCTAGAGCCACCGCGCTCAAAGTGCAGGCCAGGGCAGAGGCCCTTTGCTCAACAGCGTTTCGGAATTGGCTGCTTCCTCTAATCCCCCTCTCTCTGCACAGCAACAAGCGAGAGATCGGATTAGGGCACACACACAAGAGAAGAAGAGACCTGCATATACTGTGATTATAATGCCACTCGACTGTCGAATTGGGTTAATAAGGAACAAACAGGGGGGTGGAGGGCGGGTTAGCGTACAGTTCTGTATAATTTGGAGACGAGACGTTTGTCGCGTGAAGAAAGTTCGCACCAGGTATTCCATGCCTCTCTCACACATCACGAAATGCCGTAGAATTCAGCAGGTTTTTTATTAAAATTAGTTGGGCAGACTTACCATTCACTTGAGCAACAAAAGCGTAGTGTATTTCTCTGTGGCGATATGGTACAAATTTAAAATTAAATTCACACGTAAATTAATAGTCTGCAATTTGACCGTTGAGTTATCCATTAAATACACCGACAGACCCTCGGAAATGTACCGAAATATACCCCTGCATTTTTAAAATATACTGTAAATATACCGTAAGTCTTAAATAATTTTCCCCGATGTTGATGATGTTCTATTTCATATTACTAGCTAGTCAGTAGTCTCCAGTAGTATCAATCAATACTTCAACAACAAGAAATTCTTCCAACAAAAATAGCATAAAATGTTACGTGAGTGGGAATGGATTTTTACTTGTTTGACAATTTGTTGCTTGGGGCATTTCTATAAATTAATATATAAATATACTTTACAAAGTTTTGCTCTCAAACTTAAATAATAACTTTATCTTAGATCGACATGTTTTTAACCTTTTCATATGCTTTCTATGTATATGCATATATATACATATATCGATGTAGATACATTCTCGATATCTAATATCTATAATCTGTAGAAATTCGTTAAGATAAATATCCTGAAAAGTATATAAAATACATTAAATGGTCACCCTGTACGTCTGTTCTTCCTTCACTTTGAACTAGTTCGGGAACAGTTCAGCTCCGACTCAAAAAATACCAAAAATTGTTGAACCATTTCGATGGGCATGAAGCTATTTATTGTGGTATTTTGTAGCGCATGGGTAAAGCAAGCACCATCTGTGATTCTTTTCCGAACCAGCACCAAAAATGCCATAGCGCGGTGGAACGCACATTTTATTTATTTTTAAAAATTGCACTTGCTAGTTACAATTAACAGTAAAAAAGTCATGGATGACGACGACCTAGCACTACCCGCCGATACACTAGCCATCCTCAACGAATTCCTGGCAGAGCGTTCTAAGCGTGAAGCCGAGGAAGAGGATCGAATTGTGAATCAGGACGGCAAGGAGGCAACATTCGAAGAGAATTGGGCAAGTTCTTAGAATAACTTTAAGCGTTGGGCCTGCTAACCGTCTCACATTTTGAATCTGCAGCAATTAAGTCAATTTTGGTACAGCAAAAAGACCAAACTCGCGGTCCGCGACATTGTGGGAAAGCTTTTGAAGGAACAAACAGGTGACCAAGAGGCATGCAACTACCGCATAGCTTTGCTGTCTTGTCCATCTCTTTACAAGGATATTAAAGATATATATGAGCATGGTGAGGATCTCCTGATAAAGTTACACTTCCCTACTTGTTGACGTTTCCCTCCTTTAGTCAGCATCTTCGAGTACGATGAACGTTTTGCCGCTTATGGGAATGATTTTGTCCACTATGACATCAATTGCATAGACGGCAATCCAGACTATCTGATAAATCACCACAAGAGATACGATTTAATCATAGCGGATCCGCCGTTCTTGTCACAGGAGTGCATTGGAAAAATATCAGAGATTATCCTCAAGTTGCAGCGCAGTGCGAGCAAATCCAAGCTGATCTTTTGCTCTGGAGAAGTCGTAGAGCCCTGGCTAACTGCCAGTTTGCCTGTGCACAAGTGCAATTTCCGACCCGAACATGAGCGAAATTTGGGCAACGAATTTGTTAGTTATGCCAACTTCAATTTGGACAATTATATTTAAAGATGAACCGAAACAAAAGGTGTGTTTTCATGTGTGAGAGAGTGTGGTGTCTACTTCGCGGCAACATCAGCCTCCCTGCGTTGTTGGACCAGCTCGCGTAGGCCATCCTCCTGATCCTTCAATGATTTCTGCAAGAATTCCTTCTTCTTTTCGAGAAGTTCGAGGGCCTTTTCACATTTATCCTGCTTGCTCTTTAAGTCCTCTCGCATATTTTGCACATCCGTGAGCAGGAACATGCGACCAACTGATTGGTATACTCTAATAGAGTGGATATTCGAGTTAAAGCATTAAAAAAGAAACGACTATTAAGTGCCATTCCCATACCTCGTATCATTGTCTAGATTGCTTGTGCCCTTTTCTGTCAACAGATACTTGTGTTTTCCCGTCTTGACCATGTCGCATTTCATGTCAATCATATTGATCTTCTTGGTTGTTTCCAATTTGTTGATCTGCATCTCGGTGAAGGCCTGCGGGTGGACGGATTCGGGGAATGAGTAACATTTTCAATGGGGGCCTCGAAGCACGCGCTGCATGCCGGTTCTCGCCCTGGTGGCCATTGCGATTGCCAGTGCCCTCACCTTCTTCAATTCAATGTCCATTTGTGCCATATTGTTTGCTAAATGCTCTCTTAATGTTTTTTTTAGTTTAATTGAATGTTTTCACTATAAATTTGCTTAAAAACTCAACATCTGCCGTGAACGTGATTATCGATCAAATATACCGCACAACCCTCAAAAATATACCTTCTCATTTTAAAAATATACCGTAATCTTAAATCATATTCCTCGATTTTGGTGTTCTATTTGATATTACTTTTAACACTGAAACAATAATTTAAACCGATTGAAGAATTTCGCTTATTATAAATACTCCTTTTTATTGGATTGGTGATCCTGGTGACCCTGGTGAATTCAGCATACTCAGGAAGTGTCGAAATCTGTGTCAAAAACTAAGGCGTCGACAATAGGTAAAAACGTTACAAAACATGACACCCGTCGTTGTCGTTGTTGAAAAAATAATGATTTTGATTGGTTGAAATAAATTTTCGAATCTTATATTATCAAACATTACTTACCTTTATAATTCCACTATTTTGAGTTGAATGAGCTCCTCTCTCTCATCTGTCTCTAAAAGTTGCAAAACAACCGATAGCTTGACATCTTTGGGTAATTAAAAAGTTTAGCAAGCCTTTCAATTCCAAACATGGCTAGCTACGCGCGCTGTTGATGGTCAGGAAAATGCGCTCCTGTCAGGCGTTCTCCTGTACTTATTTCTGCGTTTTAAATATGAGCACAGAAATACGCGCCTTTATTTGAATGAATGTCTTTCCTTTCTTCTTAGTCCTCATATTATGAAACATTGATATGGGCAATAAAAGCCCATTGTTCGTAACGGTAGGTAGGCAGCAGGAGGCAGCAGGAGCTATTACATACTTCGAATGAGTGGAGTGTTCGTGGGGTGCCATTTGCCACAGATTAACCTATATTGAATGAAGCCCAAGAAGTGCCAACTAAATGTCACCGCCTGGTTCTAGCTTGCATCAGCAAAATTTCATTCATTCGTTAGCATGGAACGCTGGCAGAACAAACTCGCTGTGGTCACTGGTGCCAGCGGCGGCATTGGAGCAGCCTGCGCTCGGGCCATGATTGCAGCAGGATTGCGTGTCGTGGGCCTGGCACGGCGAGAGGAGAAGCTGCGCGAGCTCAGGGACAGCCTGCCGAAGCATTTACAGGCGAATTTCATACCCAGACGTTGCGACGTGTCGAAGGAGGATCAAGTCCTGAGCTCCTTCGACTGGATTGAAAGGGAGCTGGAGGGACCTGATGTGCTGCTAAACAATGCTGGCATCACACGCGAAATGGAGCTGGTGACGCCGGGTAATACTCAAAAACTGCGCGAGGTCATTGACACCAATGTGATGGGTGTGCTGTGGTGCACCCGGGAGGCGTTCAACAACATGAAGAAGCGTGACACAGAGGGTCATGTGTTGATCATAAACAGCATTGCCGGCCATAAAGTGCTCAACTTTATCGATGTGCTGCCCTCATTCAACATATATCCGGCCACCAAGTTTGCCATCACAGCCATCACGGAAACCTATCGTCAGGAGTTTCAGCTGCACAAGAGCAAGGTGCGCGTGACGGGGATTTGTCCAGGTGCAGTCAACACAAACATATTCCCCGAGCAGATACACTTTTATGTGAAGGATATGGCCAGGCTGGAGCCAGCTAATATAGCCGATGCGGTGCTATATGCTCTACGCACGCCGCCCCATGTGCAGGTAGGTGGATGAAGCGTGGGGCAATATACAAACAAAAAGGAATCAAAATGTATCTTTTGCAGATTCACGAGATAACCATCAAACCCATGGGCGAAATGTTTTAAAAAGTCATTTTTTAATTTGGTTTGTGGCCTGAAATACAGCTTTAGTCTGTGCCCAAGTCTGCCAGTCGCTCCTGCAGCGCCTCTTCGTTCAATTTGTGCATGCATAGAAATTGTCCATTAAAGAACACGACGGGTATATCATGCCGAAATAGTCTCAAGAAACGTACATTCTCCTTGCGATCGATGTACACCTTTTCCAGCCTGAATTTACCAGCATATTTCTGCTCCAATTTTGCCACCAAATCATCGCACAAAGAACACTTCTCCTTGGTGTAGAGTGTCAGCAGTGGAAGACCGTCCAACTGTTCGATTTTGGGCACGCTGAAAGAGAGCCGCTCACTTGAGATTGGATCTTAACACGTGACAATGGCAGGGACTCACAGTTTTTCGATAAATATGATCATCAGACGGCCATCCTTGCCATCCATGTAGGCACAGCCCAACTCGCCAGCGGGCAGCGAGTGCACCAAATGTGTGAGCAGATGACTGGCCGTGATATGCAGATTGTCGTGGGTGTACACTTTACTGCCGCTTGGGTCGAGTTGTAGCGATGGCTTGGCTGGTTCTCGGCTTGTAGCCAGATCCCAGGTGTGAATTTGACTGGGCAGCAGCGGACTGCCGCCGTGCAGGTGGTACAGTGCGTCTTCTCGGTTATTTTTCACAGCAAATTCACGCACCAAAGCCAGCGGCTGTAGCTGAAGGCGCTCTGCCGTTTCGTATGTGGTCCAGGCCAGTGCCGCAGCACCCAAAGTGGGTATGTGCTCCGAGGCATCCGTTTTACCTCTGACTGGAGGCTGCCGCACGGTCATTAGTTCATTGGCCAGTATGCCATCATCGGGTTCTAGGAACTGGCAGCGTGTGTCCCCCGTGATAATGCATTGCGATTGTCCCTGCCGCAGACTTTCCAGCGTCATACGCAGTCCTGTAATAGAGCAAATGTCGTCCTGCACGGCATGTGTCTCGCAGCCCTTGAAGCCCAGCTCTTTGGCTACACTGGCAAGTCGCTTCTGGCACTCGGCGGCGGATGCATTCGACGAAGAGCAGACAATTAGCTTTTTGAACTCCTCCCGCGGCACTAGTGTGCGTTTCACCAGCTCATCTATGACAATGCCCGCTAGCCGCTGCTCCTCCGCCTTGAAGGGAGTGCGTGGGGTACGCACAGCAGCTGCAATTACCACGGAATTACCATCCAACTGCCTGCTAAAGTGCCGCAAGTGCCTCGAAATGCTGGGAAGAACAAAAACCTATTATCAGTGCTATACTCATGGCTGCAACACGCACTTTTCAGAGTGTTGCAAGCGTAGCCTGCACAGCATGCTCAAAGACATGTTTTTTTAAATTTAATTTAACAACTAGTTTAAAAAAGAAAAGACAATTTTAAAACGAAATTCAGTTTACACACAACAGCTGGTCCGTTGGCGATAACGATAGGTCGCTATCGTTTATCGGTGCAGTTTGCGTATGATTGTGTGACCATTCTTGTGGCAGCCAAACAGCTGTTAAAAAACAAAAACTACATTGAAAATAAGAGAGAAAGTTACTTTTGGTTTTTAACCTGATGCGCTAAAAACAAAGACAAAACAAAGGCCAAAACGAAACCAAAACCAGTTATTACCCAATAGCACAAAGGCAAGGGCAGTACGAGAGCCGTAAACCTCATTGCAGACGCGACAGCTGTGGCGACAAGAGTCGGCCCTAATTCGGAAATCCAAATGGAAGTGACCTTCAAAAAGGCCCGACTGGTAAAGCACACAAATGCTGCAGCGGACGCAGAAGAAGAGTACACACCAACAGATGGTTGGTGGGCCCTGCCGGAGCCCGCCCTGCTGCTGATCTTTGAGCGTTTGAATGTCCACGAGCTGCTGCAGGCGAGCCTGTGCTGCCGACGATGGCACAGCATTGCGAACGATGATCTGTTGTGGCGTCAAAAGTTCCAGGAGAACTTTAGAGCCTCGCCCAGCGTACCGTTGAAGCCCGGCGCAGAGAGCTGGCGCTCCGAATACCAGCGTCTGTCCACAAAAATACCATTCGTGCAGGCGCAGCGGCTGGAGCCGACGGTGGAGAACAATCATGGACACACGCATCAGGTGCTGCATGTAAGCTTTGCACACAATGGTGAGATGTTTGCCACCTGCTCCAAGGATGGCTATGTGATAGTGAGTACAGCTAAGCATTCTGATTTGAATCGGGGGTTCCTAATTCATGATCTGATCCTGTGATAGATATGGAACTCGCAGCACCCATGCAAGGAAAAGTATGCGCACAATATGAAACAATTCAGCTGGAAGTACTCGCAATACTCGCAGTTCAATCAGAGCGACACTTTGCTGCTGGTGTCGGGGGTGCACTTTGGTTCGCCGCAGTCCACCTCGGGAGAGATTGCCGTGTTCTATTTGGGCGCAACAGAGTCTCATTTACGCTGCCGAGTGGTCAATCGTCCGTACGACATATTTGGAACTTGGTTCAGTGATCAGTATCTGATCTCAGGCGATCTGCATTGGCTGGCCCATTTGGTGAGCACATCGGTGCTGTGGCTGAACAAGGCCAATCAGGAGATTGACTCTGAGCACGTGCCGATCATGAGTCAATTGTACAAGTTCTACAACCGCAATGCCAGCTCTGTGCGGGCCATAATGGTGGCCAGGTGCCCCTGGTTGGACGAGAGCAATGATCCTTTGGCCAAGGAGGAGGAGGAGGCGCGCCGTCCGAGCTTCCCGTTTGCGAGTAATGATGAGGCACAGGGTGCTCAAGCCAGTGGGAATCCGCTGTCGCATGCCGCCAGTCTTAGACGCACACGAAGTGCCACGCCCGAGGAGAACTTCTTGCCCGACATAAGCGAGCGTCGGTCCAGAGCACGTCCGGGCGATGCCACGATACATTACCTGGAGGAATACAGAAAAGCGGTGGAGCCCACAAACGAAGCCAACGACGAAGAGGACGAGGAAGAGTACGACTCGATGGATGTGCATGAGGAGTACGATGAAATGGAGAATAGCATACCCAAGTATCTCATCTTTTCGACCGGTTCGAAGACATTTACCCCGCACCAGATCGGCTTCAAGCGGATTAGGAACGTTTACTTTCCCAAAAAACTCGATCCGGGGCCCTCGCTGAAGGAGAGAATAGCCGCCAAGCGGGCCGCCGCCCAGCAGCAGCAGCAGGAGCCACGCAATGATCCGGATTGGTGGAACTACGACTCGGTCAAGGATCGCTTTGACCAGGTGGACAAAGTGATCGATCTGCATGGACACATCATTGGCATGGCGCTGAGTCCGGATCATCGTTATTTGTATGTTAATACGCGACCGTGGCCAAAGAACTATGTGATCACCAATCCCCTGGAGCCGCCGCCAATTGCTCAAGAGATCGATATACATGTGATTGATTTGATGACGCTGAAGCGTGTGGGGAACATGCTGCGGGCCCACAAGGCCTACACGCCCAGCACAGAGTGTTTCTTCATATTCCTCGATGTGTGTGCGGAGTATGTGGCCAGTGGGGCTGAGGATCAGCATGCCTACCTCTGGGACCGCTACTATGGCATTAGTTTGGCGAAATTCAAGCACTCGGATGTGGTCAACAGTGTGGCCTTTAACCCAAAAGACTCGGAGATGCTTGTGACCACCAGCGATGACTATACCATAAAGGTTTGTGAGGGAATTTTATTTATATTGCTGCTGTTTTAACAAAACGTTTTATCTCTTGACCAGGTCTGGCGTTCCCGTGCCAAAGCAAGGGCCTTTAATATACCCATTAATGTGAGCGAATCCTTCGAGCTCAAGCCGAAGAAATGAAGCAACGCCTTAAGCTACATCTACATCAACATCCCTGTGCCTGCCCTGCCCTGCCTCATTATGACGACAAAAGTGGTTCTTACTGCCGGAAGAATAGATTGTTTGTTTATAGCTGTTAGTATTTAGTTACAACTTGTTAACGTTTTTAATATTATACATAATCAAAATGGTGTTCGTCCTACGACTCGCTCGTCTGTTCGCACTGGTCAGTGGGTGTGGCTGGATTGGACGTGGGCTTTGCAGGCGCAGCAACAGGCTCAGCGGGTGGGGAGCTGGCTCCTGGCTGCGCTGAAGCCTGTGCCGATGTAGATGGCTCGTCATTATCGTGATTATTATTGTGTTTGGCGTTTCGCTTGCGCTTCTCGGGGTGTCCAAAACAGTGCTCACAATCTTCATCATCCTCCGAGGAACTTTCACCAAATGCCATGGGTTTCTTGTATATGCAGCAGCCTGCAAAATGGCACTTAGTTAGAATACCAATAGCTTCTAATCAGATAAGGATTACATACATTTGGATTTCTTGCGATTCAAATGCTCATTGTCTATGACACCTTCGTGGAAAATGACACGGCGTTCGTCTCGGGGCTGTTCCAGGCGCAAGTGCAGTGTTGGAGCGGTTTGTGATAGACTTCCATCTGTTTCTTCAGTTGTCGTGCCATTACTTGAGTCATTTTTTGTTCTTTGGGCCATTTTTTTTAATAAAACAAATAACAGATTGTAGTGTGAACGTATTGTGTTCGTTCCGATATCAATTGACACTTGTTATCGGTGGGCCAACAATCTGCCAGCGCATTAGTGCAAATTTTAGCTATTTAATATTAATATATTTTATTCATATATTTTGCTTCGTATTTTAAAAGTATTTAATAATTATACTCATTTAATGGCCAACTTGGCTTAAATATAAATGTCTATACAGCATCAAAAACTGTATAGCTATTTGTATAGCTGGAAATTTGCTTGCACTAGGTGTATGTATTATTATGTCCATTTCTATATAATATTGTATATTGTACAATACATTGTATCACTCTTATGTAGCTTCTCTTGAGGAATTATAGCCATAATTGAATATATAATTTATAAATAAAAAAACTAGCTATAAAAGTACAGAAATTGGCAACACTGCTTGAGACGACCGCAAGTGCTAATCTGGCAACGCCAAACGCAAACGTCACATTTCAGCTGGCAGTCGTCGCACCGAAAATGGCTGCAATTGTGCGATTTAATTTGTTAACCAAGCCGCAATTAGGTAAATAAACGCGAATCATTCATTGTACAACTATTAATTGGTGTTTTGGTAGTAGCATTGGCTATCCGCTGACTTGCGAGACTTGCTAAATAAGTAGCAGCAAGCCAGCAAAACAATCAACTCACTTGAAAGCAAATTATGTAATTTTTGCGCAAAGCAAAACAAAACGTAAGGCAAAGGCTCTGCGCAGTTTATTGATTTGTATTTTGTGCTTATTGCAGTTGCGACACTTCCGGCCAGCGTGCAGCTGCAGCGGCTGCAGAGCACAGCTCCACCTGCTGGAACGCCGCCACCACAGACAAAGACCAAGTTTGGTCCCTTGGCCGACGAGGATCGCATCTTCACAAATCTTTATGGACGCCACGACTGGCGGCTGAGCGGTGCCCTGAAGCGCGGGGACTGGTACAAGACCAAGGAGATTGTCCTGAAGGGTCCCAATTGGATCATCAATGAGATCAAGACATCGGGTCTGCGCGGACGCGGTGGCGCTGGCTTTCCCAGTGGCATGAAGTGGTCTTTCATGCAAAAGCCCGGCGATGGACGCCCCAAGTACCTGGTGGTGAATGCCGATGAAGGTGAGCATTGTGAAATCAATTTTAAATGAACGATTTACATTAGTTTTTCTCTGTTTTTGCTTCAGGCGAGCCTGGCACCTGCAAAGATCGCGACATAATGCGTCACGATCCCCACAAGCTGGTGGAGGGATGCCTGATTGCGGGCGCTGCCATGGGCGCACAGGCGGCCTACATCTATATTCGTGGCGAGTTCTACAACGAAGCCTCGAACATGCAGCTGGCCATCGCAGAGGCCTACCAGGCAGGCCTCATTGGCAAGAATGCATGCGGCACGGGCTACGATTTCGATGTCTTCATGCACCGTGGCGCTGGCGCTTACATTTGCGGCGAGGAGACAGCTCTGATTGAGTCGCTCGAGGGCAAGCAGGGCAAGCCACGCTTGAAGCCGCCATTCCCCGCCGATGTGGGTGTCTTCGGTTGCCCCACAACGGTCACCAATGTGGAGACGGTGGCTGTTGCGCCCGCCATCTGCCGTCGCGGTGGCACTTGGTTCGCCAGCTTTGGTCGCACCCGTAACTCGGGCACAAAGCTGTTCAACATCTCGGGACATGTGAACAATCCCTGCACGGTGGAGGAGGAAATGTCCATTCCGCTGAAAGAGCTGATTGAGCGTCATTGTGGCGGCGTCACTGGTGGCTGGGACAATCTGTTGGGCGTCATTCCCGGCGGTTCGTCCACACCGATTATACCCAAAAATGTATGCGACGATGTGATTATGGATTTTGATGGCCTGATTGCGGCCCAAACATCGCTCGGAACGGCGGCCATCATTGTAATGGACAAGTCCACGGATGTGATCAAGGCGATTGCGCGACTCATCTCGTTCTACAAACACGAGAGCTGCGGCCAGTGCACACCATGCCGCGAGGGCATTGGCTGGATGAACAAGATCATGACTCGGTGAGTAAAACCCCTTTTTGCGATTATTTCAAACCAGAACCAGATTGAGGCATGTTTTCCTTTCCTTCCCCGTGATATTTACACACAGCTTTGTCAAGGGCGATGCTCAACCCGCTGAGATTGATATGCTGTGGGAAATTTCAAAGCAGATCGAAGGCCACACCATTTGCGCGCTAGGCGATGGTGCCGCCTGGCCTGTCCAGGGCCTCATTCGTCACTTCAGACCCGAGATCGAGAAACGCATGCAACAACATGCGCAGCAAACGAAGCGCGCCATCAACTAAATATGAACTTAATAGCGAAATGTCTTTGTTTTATCCTTGATTTATTGAAACCCCTACGAACTCTATAAATGCATATAAAGTTTAATATTCTATAAATCAAGTTCACATTTTTCCATTTGCTACTTTTGTTGAGGTGTCAGCTTCCGTAGCTATAAATTTGATCTGATTAGCGGACGGGATTAGGTAATTTCACTCCTACTAATGCCTCCACGAAGAAGACCTTTAAGACAAGGAATATTGCTATGTAGTAAACGATTTGGTTACTGCCAGGTTGGACTGCAGGAAGATTCCAATTTAAGATCAAGTGACTCATGACTTGATATTTAATAACTAATTAATTAAACCCTTTGCTTCTGTGTGGCTAATAGATACATTTCATATGAATTACCAGAATTATATTTCATGAGGCCCTTTGTCTAACATTGGAATATCCCAGATATCGAGACGATGTGTGTGACGCATAGATGAAAGGTTTCCGACCCTATACAGTATACATAATCTTAAGCAGCATCAATAGGCGAGTCGAATTAGCTGTTCGTCTGTCTGTCTTGTTTGACGTCTAACAGGAATAATTTTGAGCTAGTTTTGTTCAGTCAATTGTATCTACAGCTTCGGGTGTGTGTTTCGCGGAGTAAGCCGTAAGCCGCGACGTCCATGTCCACCTCTAGTTTTGTAGTTCGTGCTAAATTGATGCAGTAGCAGGAAGCAATGTGCACATATTAAATTGGAATTAATTGCAGTTATGTATGTATCGACTATTACAGCATCATATAAGCAACGGGAAAAACTATAATTTGTATATTTTCTAAACATAACCCATCATCATATCATACCATTACAGCTCCAAGGTAAATAAAACAATTTGCATTTTTTTTAGTATGTAGCATATTTATAGTTTTTAGTTTTTAGAGTTTCTCATTTGGTTTTTGTTTTGTTTTCGATGAAGGTTTTTAGTTAAAGTACAAAATGATATTATTTAAACTTAGTTTAGGGTTTCTAGCCACTAGTTTAAAGGCGTTAACAGCAGCTGCTGCTGCTTCAGATGGCTTTCAAGAAAGTTTAAAGGGGAGTAAGTTTTACATACATACAGCTTCGAAGTGAAATGAAATGGTTTGATTGACGACAGCATTGCTCTTGTATAGAAGTAAAGAAAGACACGCAAAAGAGTACTCGTAGTTGTGGTAGTAGTAGTAGTTTCCCTCCTCAGTATGGTGGTATAAAAAGTACTGCATAGAAAATTGCATGTGGCAAAACTTGGCAACGGATAGTGGCAGATTTTGTTTTTGTTTTGTTTTTCTTTGCAATTGAGTTGGGGGGGGGGGGGGGGGGGGGGAACACTCCTCAGCGAGTCATCCAAATTGCAAATGAAACCCGAACCTGAGTTTGTTCTGTTTTATGTCTGTTCTGAGTCGCTTCAATTGCACTGTACGATATTCAAAAATGGTTTAGAAAAAGTGTATAATAATATAAGAATTAAGTCATAGAAATATGTATACAATACTCGTTTTTGTTTTGTTTTAAATCTTATCCACACATTTATAATCCTTTTTTTTTGTTAGTTTTTCTTGTTTTTATATTTATGTATATGTATATATATTTATGTATATATGTATTTATGTAAGTTTATGCATGTTTCGTTAGGTATATGTACTCGTATTTGATTTAGTTTTGTTAGGTTTTTGTTTTTAAATTGTTGTTTCAAAAGTTTTAGATCTCGTTTAGTTTGATTTTGCTTTGCTTTTCTTTCGTTCGTTCGTTCGTTTAACTTGGCTTAAAGCGTTCATCTTATTGCTTATCTATGAGAAGGAACATAGTACAATATATGTGTGTGTGTTTTTCTTAAAAGACTAAACAACATTTCGAACAAGTCACTAGAAGAGTTTTTTGGTTTTGCTTTAGCTTTTTGCTTTTATTTTTACTTTTACTTTTACGTTTACTCATTTTTATTGCATAGCTTTAGGCGCACAACATCGTAGTGTAAATAAGCGTCAACTAACACATATGTATATATACATATACTATATGTATGTATGACCTATGTATTATGTTGTATATATTTTATGTATGTATATATATATATATATTTATTTTTATTTTTTAGTAGATTCTTCTTTGTTTTTGCCAACTAATTGCGTAGAGCTTTTGAAAAACATCTAGATAGTTCAGGGGCAGGGGGGGGGGGGGTTGGCTAGACAGGATCAGGTCGTAAGTAAAAAATATATTATATATGCATTGCATATAATGTATATCAAGTTTTGTTTTGTTTTGCTTTTTGTTTTTTGTTTGTTTAGTTTAGTATCACACTAGTAGAGATAATGCGAAGAAGCCTGAGCTCTATACTGTTTCGGTGTCAGCTTAATCAGTTTGGGATTGAATGCACCGAGGGCCGCCTCATTGGTGGACGATGGCGGAGGTGGCACCGTGTGCGTACGAAAGCGTGATCTCAGAAAATTCTGCATGGAGCGCAGCCGTATGATGGGCGCACAGGGCGATTGTCGTAGCGAATTGTGATTGAGCGCCCAATAGATGACCGGACTGATGGCCGAGTAGAAGTATCCTAAAATGGAGAGTTACATGCAGATCATGCACTGGCTATTCGCTGGCTATTCACCTTGCTATTCACTCACCCAATAACAGACTGAAGTACACAGAGGACTTGCTGCAGTATTGCTTGTAGCCGAAATTCTTATAGAATATGCAAAAGACATGCGGCGCCCAGCAAACGATGAAAATGATGGCAGAGGCGATCAGCATGTTGGCCAAATGGCGTCGCGACCTCAGGGTCGAGGTCTGTGGCAGCGGTATGCCCGGAGTGGCCGGACCCCGACCAGCACGATGTATGCGCTGGCGCTGCGAATGGGCGCGTATCTCCCTCATGGCTCTGTGGGATGGGATTAACAAATTAAATGCAATTCCACACACAAAACAGTCAATTAACGAGGCTAATCACCTGGGCGATATGGGATTGCTGGAGCGAAAGGAGCCCGCATCCAGGGCCGAACCCGACCGTGGCTGTAGCGTGTGCATTTGTATGTCGCCTGGACTCACGGCCATTGGTCCACCGCCATTGCCATTGCCATTGCCATTCCCATTCGAGGTATCGTCCACGGTAGTGGGTCCGCCGCAGGCCGCCTGCTGTGCATTCGCGCAACCCGTCACAATCACCATGTGCGTCTGTCGCCGCAGTATGGGCATGGGCAGTGGCAGTTCCCCGTGAGCCGCACGAGCCGTCAGCGACAGGGCGCACAGTTTGCGACGCACGCCGTAGTGATTCAGCAGCACCCCCACACCGGGCAGAACGAACACGGCTATCGTGTGGAAGATGATGAACGACATGAACATGGCATTGGCCCCCAGGTCGGAGGTGCAGCTGATGCTGATTGGGTTCGGTGTGGTGCTGGCATTTGTGCTCCCCGCACCCACGCCCTTGATGATCACCGACTTGGCGATGATCTTGTAGGCAAACAGGAAGGGAGTGCTGATGGCTGCCGAGGCCAGCCACGAGATGAGTGCCAGGGACACGTGCAGATAACGACGCTGCCGCAGCTGAGCCAAACGAGGATGCTTGACGGTGGCATAGCGATCCAGGGAGAGCATGAAAAAGGAAATGGTGCTGGCCGCCACGGGCATGACCTGTCCACGACGAGAAATTGCTGCTAAACAGACATCAAATATGTACAAAATGGTTCACCCACCTGTATGTAGTGTATGACCTTGCACAGCACCAGCGGCAGCGATCTTGTCCTTCGATTCATGGCCAGATTAAGCAGCGTAACAGGCGCCGATATGCCGGTGACTAGCAGATCTGCAATGCACACGGCCAGCAGCAAGGGATTCCGCAGGCGTACCGAGGAGGCCGAGCAGAGGGTGAGCACCAGCGTGGAGTTGCCCACAACGCCACCAAAGACCACAAGACCATAGCTGACGGCCAGCAGCAGGAGTGTCAGAGAGGAGATGGCATTTTCCGAGTCGCCGCCGCCGCCAGCAACAGCGTCAAGGTCGTAAGGATTAATCAGACTAAAGTTGCCATAGTCAAAGTCCGTGACGGAACTTTCCAGCTCGGTAATGGGCTGTGTGCCGGGGCCCAGTTGGTTATGCTCGAGGAGTGCGTAATGCAACTCCGTGGTGTCGAGGTTGTTGTGCGCCTGGAGCTGATGCCGGCGGTACATGTGCTCCCACCATTGCTGCAGATTGTTGCTGTTCATGCTGCGCGTAGCCGTCGTCGTGTGCCAGTCCTTGTACGATCTTCGTTGTCGATGCGTTTGTCTGGCCGCCTCATTTCATACTAAGGGTGCCTGGGCGAGCAGGACACAAACCCAAAACGGGGGAACGAAAAAAAAGGTAGCAAAGTGTAACAAAATGCCATCATCATCATCAGTCTTTTTGCAGCAGCAAGGACACACATGCAGGAAACAGACAGAGAACAGATACGGACATGGCAGCCAACATACATACACACACTCCAAAATTCCACAGACACAACCACACAGAGTGTTACGAGTGTTACGAGTGTTACGACCCTTAGTCCGACCCTTCCATCCACCCACTTACCCAACGCTGACACTGACACTTATGCAATGAGAGAATGCGAATGCCAACAAGATAGCAGAGGGTATAACCAGTAGAGGGGTAGTAGCAGCTAATGATACCCTAGTAAAACCTAGCCAGATCTGCGCACAGGTTTGCTTAACAATAAGCGCCTTGTTCCGCTTTTAAAGCTGATTCACCGACGAACCTCTTGCTGCAACCATCATACCCCACACAAAGTAGCACACTCAGGGATTAGTGCTGCTCTTCCTTCCGCCTTCCCTGCGGCTGCTGCTGCTGCTGCTGGCCCCCCGAGCCAAATGAATGGCAACCTTGCACTTTGCGCCCTCGACAAACAACCGCAAGGTTTGCCTCTGCTGCCGCCTCGCTGTCTCTGCTGCTGGCTCAGACACACACATCCACGGCCACTGCCACTGCCACATCTGCGCCCAGTTGACGTTTAAGCCCCATCAAGGAAATGTGCGGGTGTCGGCCAAAGTTTGCACTTAATTGCGCGTTAAGGCCGCCCACAGTGTTGCCAGACCCGGACCCAAACCCGTAGCCGTAGCCGAACCCGGCTTAAGCTTAAGGCTTGAAGCGTTTGGCAGCTGCAGTTTTGCAGGTGTGGACAATATCTCTGGCATTGTGGCAATAAATGCAAGCCAGCGTCCAGCACAGCTCAGCTATTAAAAATCTTAATTGAAATTGTTATCAAAAGCGAGTTAAAAACTCATTAAGCGCAGTGGCAAGGAAAGGCAAGGAAGGGAAAGGAAAGGGCCAAAAGGAAAGGGTGCATCAAGATTCAATTTGAACATGACAGTCCACAGGAGAGACTGTCAGAAACAGAGTAGGATTTGTGCCAGCAGTCTTGAAAAGGTAGGTTAAGTTTGTGGTTAAAGTTTGAGTTAAGTTGAGCTGCAGTTAAACGTCATTGAAGTTGGGCAGGAATAGTTCTTTGGATCTGCTTCACAACTAATACTGCTTTTTGAGAGTTGATAGAGCTAGAGAAGGTCACCTGTAGTCAAACATTTCTTAGGGGTATTATTACTCCTATTATCTACATATGTATATTCATTTAGAAAGCTGTAATACATTTCCTAATTCAACTTTTAAAAGTCAAACTCTCTGCAACTCAAATAAAATGGTGTGCTAAATGGTGACTCGACTTACAGAGGTGGACACAATGTTGGCTCGCCTTAAAGCAAATCCCTAATGGCTGCATTTTCTATTAAAAAACTGTCTTTGCCAACAGTTTATAGAGATTTCCATAATAAATGTTTCTTCGCTTAAAAAGCCACAAATAAAAATCCGGATAAGTATGCTACACAAAACGTGCAGCCAATAATTTCAATAATCATGAAATTGCATCGTGCGTCACCCTAATAAAATCACCCACCCATACCACAGTCCACTCGAGGGGGGTTTGGCTGCCTGCGTCAGTCATTGTGCAGGCAGCCCCCGTCATGACGGGGTGACGCGTCACCTCCTGCCTGCTCCTTCCCTTCTGACTGGTGTGTATCAATTTTGTTGTGTGCGGGTGAGCAGTGGCGTAGAGGTAGGGGGCAGCAGCCTTCTCCTGCTCCACCAACGCCATTGTCCTGCGCACTGTCAATGTGTGTGTGCTGGCGCTCTTTGTGTCTGTGTGTGTGTGTGTGTGTGCGTGTGATGTCAACGCTTTTGCCTTTTGCTCTGGTTTTTTCCCTGCTCTTTGTTTTGCCGTCGAACGGGCGGGATATGTTCAACGGGGGTGTGGGATACTGTTCAACGGGACAGAGTCTGTGGGGATGATGTGAGTGACGTTTGCCTAATCTGCTTAATTTGCGTTAATTTAATCGTGGCTAACGGTGTGTGTGTGTGTCGGGTAAGCACATGTTGCTATTGCCATTTCGACGCCTAGACCTTGATTTGTGCAAGCCATTGAGAGGTGCCATCAAAGAAATGCTACATTACATTACATTACATTCCCATTGTCAGAAACGTATCCATACATTGTTCATACATACATACATATATATGTACATACATGATATGAATTGATATGGTATGAACATATGAACATATGTATATACATTATACATACCTATATTCTTGATCAGTAACAATAGCCGAACGCCAACAGCTTTGTGTATTTGTTGATCTTTCTCCCCGCCTGCACCATCGTGCAGTATGCTGCTCTGGGGGAGGGTAGTGTGAGAATTCATGTAGATGTAGATAACAGATGTAGAGACAATGTAAGATTTAAAATTGCAAAAAATTAAAAGGCTATAAGTATATGTACATACATACATATGTAAATATCTATGTATTTATGTTAATGCGTGTATGCAAATACTGACTGAGTACCGGGTCATGTCATGTTCCTACTCGTTTTGTATAATACAAATCAATAATTAATTTTAATTTGTTAATTTTTATTTATAAACTATTATTAAAACAATGAAGAAACGATTAAGGATCAGATTAAATCGCCATAAAAAATCAATTAAATCTTTTCAAATGTTATACGAAATATATTTTAATGCTAAAAATGAAAGCTCCATAATAATAAATGAATATAAAATATAAATATATATATACATTTTTTTTCTCTCGCTTTTTATTTTGTCTGTTATCTGTCTGTTTAAACAATAAGTAAATTGTATAATTAAAATTAAATTAACAGAAATAGCAGTTTTCCAATGAGCCCTGCTATTATATATAACATCTTTTCTGTTTGTTGCATTTATCTATCGGGGAGATCAGACTTAAGGCTACATTATTTTCGTGGTTGTGGAGTCTGTCGATGTATTTCTTACTAGTTTTATTTATTTCTTATTTAATTGTTGGAATATTCAGATCTTTGTGCATTTGCAATGCATTGACAATGTGTCGCAAAGTTTTTGATTGGTAACGCTGAAGTATCTCAATATTTGAGTTGCTAGCAGGCCCCCAGAGCTGTATAGCGTAGGTCCAAACAGGCTTCAGTATGGATTTGTAGAGGCGAATTTTGTTTTCCAAAGTGGTTTTTGATTTTCTACTTATCAACCAGGACATCTTTAGTGTTTTAAGTCTGAGTTGTTGACATTTTGCTTTAATGTGGGTTTTCCATGTTAATCTGCGGTCGAGATGCAAGCCGAGATACTTCATCGAAGGAACCAGTCTTCAATTAGGCTTAGCTCACTCTGCAGGAGTTCAGAAGCTTCATTTATAGACGTGCTTGTGGCTTAAACGGCTGTATCATCAGCAACAGTGCAGTTGTTTGGGTGTAGAGAATTGGTCCCAATACGCTTCCTTGTGGGACGCCTGCGTTGATGAGAAGTAGTGTCATCATCGGTTTTCTGCTGCACGTAAAAGCATCTTTTAGCCAGATATGATTTGATTAATAAATAGTACGGACCAGGTAGACATTTCTTTATCTTGTACAGCAAACCTTTGTGCCAGACTCGATCGAACGCTTGTTGAACATCAAGAAATGCAGCAGTGCAGTATTTTTGGTTTTCAAATGCCGAGCATATATCATTAATAACCCTGTGACATTGCTCAGGGGTCCCGTGACCTCTCCTGAATCCGAATCGGTATTCAGGAATGATGGAAAGTTCGACCAAAATTGGCAATATTCTCTTCAATGGTATTTTTTCAAACACTTTCGAGAACATTGTCAACAGACTAATGGGACGGTATGAAATAAATAAAAATTAAGTTTGTATAATGAAAACTATAAGTCTTGCGTGGTATGTAAAATAAAGTAAGTAAAGATTAAGGATCTGATACAGTCAACATAAACAGTCTAATAATACTGTCGATATGTTGTAGAAAAAATAATCATAATGGTAAAGATAAATATAAGCTAAAAAAAACTCGTTAAATTAGGCTCCAAAAGCATTCCTCTACTATATGTATGTACACATGTAAATATTTAATGTACATATTGTATACAAACATATATGTACATACATGTATGTATAAGTACGCAAATGTATCGGTGAGCAGCACCCATGGCTGAGTGAGTGGGTGTTCGTGTACTTTTCTCACCTATTGTCTAATAGCCAATAACCTGTTGAGTGTGGAGTCTTATTTATTGTTTGAACTCTTTGCAGGAGTCGCAATTAAAACTGTAAACTTCCCATTTATGTGGCAACTCTGCTCATTAAGTTGCCCTACCGCCTAAACTTAGTGGCTGGTGACAATTTTGAACCTGCGGGGTGCCTGGCCTCTTGCCTCGCTCTCGATTCGCATATTGAAAATAAAATATGTATGTGTGTATTAATTTACGTCACTCAAACGTCAGCAACAAGCACAAAAGGTGACAAAAGCTAAGCTGAAGAAAAAAAGAAAAGAAAGAGATGCTGAAGCTGAAGCTGAAGAGAAGGCAGCAGGCAGCAGGCAGCAGCCCCAAAAGAATGGCCATAAGAAAAGCCAATGAGATAAAAAGGAAACGGAACGAGCGTCCCAAGTCCAACGAGTGGAGCGACGAACGACGAACGACGAACGCGATGATGATGAGATTTGTTGTTGCTGCTAATATGAAGAGTGTCCGCCACAGGTAAGTTAATATAACAGACACACGCACACCAGACACCAGAGAAGATACTCCCCCGTACACAGATACACTCAACAAAGAGACCCAGGGACCCGGCTCGGCCCCGGCCCAGGACCCAGAACATAGAGGGATACACATTGGGGGGCGCAGCGGTGTCGGCTTCTGGCTGGGGCCTTTGCTCTGCTCCGCTCTGCTCTGCTCTGCTTGCCCGCTGCTTTTTGTCTGTCTTTATTGATTTCGGCAGCTTTTATATTATAATGGTATGGAGTGGGTGGTGGGTGGCAGCTCGAGTAGGAGTGTCCGCCACTGTCCAAGAGTACTTTTCGGCTTCTTCGTGACCGCCACAATGGCAAACAAACAAAGTCTTTTGGTATCTGTGCGCGCTCCCTACCCCCATCCCGAGCTATTATTCGATGAAAAACAATTATTATATTATTTTCCAGCTATTATCATATTCCTTTTTGGAACAGTTTTATTCATAAAGGAGCGTCACCACTCCATCGCGGCACCCGTCCTATTATCATTATTAGAATAATTATTTTTAAGAGTTTTTTATGCATTAGGAACACGCAAACATTCTTCATTTATGGGTTGTATATTTTTTTAAAAATAATATTAGGAATTATTTCGCTTTATTATCTATCCATGGCTGCACCACAACTTATTTTAGTATATTCATTTTGTTGGGGGCCCTGTGAAAATTCTGGTAAATTCATTGGAAGTGAGGTAAATAATAAAAATATTCATTATGAATACTCCCTCCCACCTTGTCACCCACACATCGCGAACATGTAGCTGTGTGTGTGTGTCCTCTCTGCCACTCACTCACTCTCTCTTTCTGTCAGCTTTAAGACCCTATGCAAACCTTTTTCGACGAACAATGAAGAAACGCGTGGGCCAGGGGCGTGGGTGTGGGGATGGAACACACACACACACACACAGTCGCAGTATAACAATCCCCATCACTATCACACTCTGTAGCTGCTCCTTCACAGTGGGTTTCATATAAAAAAGCGACACCATAATTACTAACCATCAAAATGCGCGTGATGGAGTGCCATGACAAAAGGCACAACAAAATAATCTTGCATACCAATTAGTGGAGGCATCAAATGGAGGCGGGCACACAACACTCCCCTCCACATCCACACACACACACACACACACACACACACACATATAAAATATATACCCATGTCCAGATATCCTAGCTGCTTCCCCAAACACTCTTTATACGTAATATCCCTACCGTGTTTTGCTGAACGAATTTTGCTGGGTTGATGCTGCTCCTCACCCGCTGTTAAGGGATTCTTGTTGGTAGTTGGTAGTGTTGGTGGTGGTAGCGACGTTGTTTATTTTATAGAAGGCACTGTATTTTACAGTTAGAACTATTTTGCATATATTTTTGTGCTGTTATTATTGCTGTTTCCTTGCTTGTTTCTCTTCTCTTCGGTTCGTTTCGTTTCGTTTCTTTTTTATTTATTTATTTTTTGTTTGTAATTTATCAAATAACACTTTAGCAAATATTTGTTTTATTTCGCAAGATTTTGTGGTTTTTATATATTTTTTTCCCCGTTTGTTTTTCGGTTGTAAAATTTGTTTAAAAATGTTGCCCGCTTTTTGTGCTCTTTTTTGGCCTTTTTCTTTTTTCTTATATTTGTTAAATTATATTTGTTGATATTTTTGTGACTGTCTGTGTTAGTGTGGTATGTGTGTGATTGTGGTATGTGTGCGTGTGTACGTGTGTGTGAGTGTGTCGGGGGGGACAAACAAAAAAGAGTCCAAAAAAAAACAAAACTCAAATTTTGGCGTGCAAAAACTGTTCCTCAACGGCGCACATTTACTCGACAGGACTACGGAAAAGGACTGGCGTTGAAAAAGTTTCCATGGCATCCATCCCGGAGAGAGTCCCGTCCACAGCAGACTTCGGTGGAGTCTGCGCAACGCGCAACGTTTCAAAATTTAAGTATTTTAAATTATCCCGACTTGTTGACAAGCCAGAGACTAATATTATTTATTTTACTTGATTTATTTCATTTGATTTCATGATTTATTTTCTCAATTTTGTAACAACAATTATTTTGATGGATTTCATTTCCGACTCTGCGCAACGTTTCAAAATTTAAGTATTTTAAATTATCCCGACTTGTTGCCAAGCCAGAGACTAATATTATTTATTTTATTTCATTTGATTTCATGATTTATTTTCTGAACTTTTTTAACAACAATTATTTTGATAGATTTCATACAAACGAAAACCATCATGTCATGTTATATGAAAACCTTCAACAGGTGCGAAATGGTTGAAAAAATTGAAAATTCGTACTTTTTTCACATACTGGGCTTACCTTTCTGTACGTACCTTGCGAGAGCAAGGGAGGAGCAGAAAGAGCCTCTCTTCTCTTCTCAATAACTCTTGAGCAAAAGCTTCACGAGCACTTTTGCGCTCTCTTGCTCTCCGACACTCCGAAACATATTGTTTCTTGGGTCCTCGGGGGCGACACTGTACGCCACTCTTGGCGCGCGTTTTGAATTTGAAACAACTGTACATGCTAGCAATCGGCGATGGGTTTTGTTTTTAATTTGTGCAGATACTTAGTAAAAGTGACTCTTTGGATCACATGTGGAAATGATTCCTTTCCACAGATTGACGTGGTTGGTTGTACTTTAAAACTATTAAGGGAATTTCCCGCTTAGTCTGGGGAGGAGCCATAGAGTGAGTCAGAAAAGCATTTATGCCGTCAAGTTCTATTAGAGGAAAGTGTATCCTTTCAAAACCCTCTGAGAATGAGTGCGGCATGAAAGAGGATTCCCCTAATGACTGAATTTATAAAACCAATCATTTACTCAGTTAGAAAGATGCCAAAACAATTTTTACACACTCCAAAAAGAGGGCAGTCTGGGTCCTAATTTCATACTATTTTATGTGGCCATAAAACTGTTTGGAGTGGAAAAGATGTCCAAAGATTCTATGGCATAGAACCAAAGATAATGATAGCCCAATTTAAAGGTGCCAAAAACATTTTTTAAACACTCTTAAAAGTGTTTGAAGGTTGGTCATATTTCTCTTTAAAATTATGGTATTACTCCCTACACTCTTTTTCTGGATTTTCATAAGTAGCATTGTTATAATGTTTAGAAATGGTTATACTCTCATCGTTTAAATACTAACATTCTCTTTATTTAAATATTCATTTTGTATATGATTAAAATGCATGATGTACTTGTGTAATAGTTGCAACTTGTATTGGATTTTGCTCCATGGTATACTTTATAAATGTAATATATGTAACCTACGCGCTTAAATTGTTAATTAATATTTGTTTTTTGTTTGTAGTTTGCCATTCGTTCACTTTACTCTGTTCAAAATGCAGAATACTGTTCTGTTCTGTTGTTGTATGCCTTGTATGTTTGTGTTATTAATTGTTACATTGAAACTAAGTTAAATTTGGGTGTAGAATAGATGTACTACATTTTGCTTTTTCTTTTGTTTGTTTGTGGGTTTTCATGTTGTAAGCCTAAAGGTGGGCGGCAATAAATTAAAGGGAGGAGTGGAGATAGGGTGGATAGATTTTTTCTTTATAAAATACCACAATAAATTAATTACTAAAAACTTGTAATTGTGGAAAAGGAAATTACATATTCCGAGATTATGTTTAAAATGTACGTAGCGTAGAGTGCAGCCTTGCTATTACGATCTTTTCCGACTTATAGCATACAATGTTGATGGTTATTTTCGTGTTTTTGTTTGTTTTCTGTTTTTTTTCCAGTAAGTAGCAGCAGTGTTTCGATGATCAGTTCTCAGGGTTTCTTGTAGTATTTTCGTGGTAACCTATGTGGATCAGTATTTTGTTGTTGGCAGCGGTATACTTATCGATAGCAGTGTATTGCTTTTGGGTATGCTGCCCTGCCTTTGTCCCCATCTCCCGCGCAGGTAGGCAGCTTCTTCTAATCGTCGATAGTGTACTCTGGCAGCTTCTCGTACTTCTGCTTGGTGGCCTCGTGTGTGGTGTCCACCAGCAGGGCGGTGTGCGAGTAGCCCATTGTCACCTGAGGTATTTTAATGCCATCCATCTTGGGCACCTCTTTGGGCACCGTCGAGGACTTCTGGAACTCACCAATGCCCAGCTCTCCGAAAGTGGGCGATGCACCCCAGGCAATCAGTGTGTCGTCGGCTGAAATCATGATCGATGTGTTGGCACAGCCAAGATCGGTGATGTTCCAACCGGACAGGTCTTGCACGGGCTTCGGGTACATATTGGCCTCGCCCGTCTTCTTGTTCTGGCCAAAGAGATAGAGCAGGCCCAGCTCGTTGACAATCAGGCTGAATGTGGAGCCACAAAATACGCTGCGCCCGCCACGACCCTGAGTATCGTAGAACTTCATCAAGCGCGGCACCATCTCATCCTTGGGCTCGGCATGGCCCAGACGACCAAAGCCGCCAAAGCCCCAGCTATAGACGCGCTTCTTCGAGTCAATTGCAACCTGTCAAGGGGTATTATTTATGTTTAAGTAGAGAAAACAGAGATACGAGATCTTTCTTACCGTGTGGTTGTTGCCGCAGGCAAAGTCCACAATCTGCACTCCATCCACGGGCGTCACATGGCCCTCCTTGCTCTTCTCAATGTACAAGACAACCTTCTTGGGCGAGGTCTCAAAGTGGAATGACAGCTTGTTGGCATTTACAAAGTACTTGGCATCCGTATTGTGACCCAACTGTCCATACTCCGGCAGACCGAAGGTGTGCAAGTTACCCTTGATGTCCAAAATTACCGAAAACTCGGCGCCACAACCTATGCGAATGATGGGTGGACCCCGATAGTTGATCGGAGTGGGGGAATATATATTGGCATGGGCATTGCCCACACCGCACTGTCCCGACTTGTTCTCGCCGAGGGCGTACACGGTGCCCGTGTCGGTGAGAAAAAGTGTATGATGGCGTCCGACAGAGGCCTGGACAATGTTCAATTGCTCCAAGGCCGGAATGATAGTGGGCTTCTCCACCAGCTTCACATCCGGACTGAAGCCCAATTGTCCGCTGGGATTTCGGCCAAAGCCGAGCGCCTTGCGATCCATATTGATGAGTATGGTGTGGGCAGCACTCGGACCACTGGCAACATACCGATACTGCGGAGTAGAAACAATTGAAGATTAGCTTCTCAAATCGATGAAAAGTCCCTGAATAAGCCGACTCACCTTCTCCTCTGTAAACCGATGAAAGCTGTACAAGTTGGGGCGCACTTTTGTGACATTTTTGCGATCACGCTTGCCGGTCAGATCCCAGGTAACCATGCCGGCCAGCAGCAACTGTCCTGGCGTCTTCTCCAGCGTGGCCAGCAAGTCCTCGGGCAGCTTGCTGGGCGGATCAAGATCATCGTTCGGTATGAGCACCTCCATTTGATTGGCAGCCGCCTGCCGATGGGCGGCATCATCGTCGGAATCATCGCTGAACTCGTCCTCGTAGTCGGACTCCTTCTTCTTGGGACGCCTCTTGTTGGGACCAGCTCCATTGCCACCTGCCTTGCGCTTAGCGGACATATTCTCAACTAAAGTTTCGTGTGTGTGGAGTTTGGGGTTTGTCGGCTCTGGCTGCACAATAGCTGTAACGGAAGAAGAGGCAAAGGCCGAACCTTCGTTGAGAACCAGAAATGTTTGTACGCAGCAAAGCAGCCATCAGCAAAGCAGCAGAGCGTGACCCGGCTTTGCTCTCACACGCTCAGCTCTATTCGTATATGGCTGGTTGTGTGTGTGTGTATGTGAGTTTATGTGGTGGTTTTTGCAAGAAAAACAAAATGAAAGCCGCTACTGTCTCTGTCAACGACGCCGACAGCAAGAAAAAACATTTTCCTCTATTAGATGAATCGTTTCACTTGAATAAAACAAAGCATTGTTTTTTGTTGGCCAATCGCACAGCTTTATAGGCAGCTGCTGATAGAATTAGCAAAGAAAGGCGGCTAAAAACAGATTTGAAAATGTTAGCGTCACTTCACAGACACACAAAGACCTGGGTCAGAATTCACAGCATTTAGCATTATTTTACTCCCATTTAAGTGTTTCTCACAACTATTTCGCTAGGCGGGCAGTTAATTAATTAAAACTATTTATTAGTCCCAAACTTACATTTTAAATCGCGAATTTATAGTAATAAATTTTGGATTTCGCAGAAATTGGCAAACAAACAACGCTAGCAGTGGTAGCGCGGAACTATCGATAAAATATACCGCACAACCCTCAAAAATATACCTTCTCATTTTAAAAATATACCGTAATCTTAAATCATATTCAGCGACTTTGATGTTCTATTTAATACTACTAGCTTACAAAGACTTTCACCACTGAAATAATCATTTAACCGGACTGAAGAATCAATTTTGCATGTTATAAATACGCCTTTTTATTAGATTGTATACCTTATGACCTTCTATTTTACAAATTTGTATTTGAATATTTCAAACAAAATCACCCTTCGGGGTCGGTTCTTCTATCTTTACATAATTGGGGCTAGAATCCTGTATCGACATTATCATTTATAATTCATTATTCATTTTCATTATAATTCGTTATCATCATTATCTTCTAACTATGTGTTTTCATTGATTTTATTTCTTTTCTTTTATTTTTATATATAGTCAAATATTAATCTTTTATATTTTATATTTAGCTCATTTATATTTTATTTGAAGTTTTTTTTTTCTAGCGACCTTTCAGGAAACGAGAGCTTTCACGCTGAGAAATATGTGTCAAAAAACAAAGGTGTCGACAACAGGTAAAAACATCACAAAAAATTCAAGGTGTCACGGTAAAATACACCAGCCGCTTCAGTCCTCCAAGTAACTGTACTTTCGAACAGTTGCACTTTACGGGGGATTTAAAATTTTTTTTTCATTTTGTGTATATGTCTTCAGTTTGTAAATGTACGTAAACCATTTCTCAGAGCCATGTTATATAATAAAATGATCCTGATTTTTTTGGCTTTTTGGTCTGCACATGCTCTTCGTCAATAGCACCTATGCAATTAACAAAATTCCATTGATTTATGAAATCAGTCAAATTTTATATTCTAGCCAAAGGTCACCAAAGGAGCTGAGTTCCTGCAAAAGGCAGTCTCGCACTTGGACAATATCAGCGCAAAAAAAAAATCCAAGAGATGACGCTGAAATTTTCGCTGAAGGAAGGGCTATCATGTTCAGGCAGATGTCGAAGGAGCAACAGATTTTCGCAAAGAAAGGAATTGACGAGCTCCTTATGCAAGCCCAATTGAACATGCTTACTTATCAAGGAGTATCAAGCATTGCACGCCTGCCCAATACTGCTCCTGTTTATCAAATGCCAGTTCCGGCTTATCCGCGCCAACAAATATATGTGAGCAATCCAATAGCAAGTGACTCCAACACCGTATCATCATTTGTGTCTGAAGATACAAACGCACCAGTTCCAGTTGTTATCACACTAAACAGAAACGTGTCAGCTTCCTCATTCGCGGATTGATTCAATAACGAATAACGTATAAGAGGTTTACCATTTTATAATTATATTTAAATACAAACATTTTTTCTTACCTTAATATACGGCTTGAGCATTTTAATTATGGCACTACATGTTTCTAGTAATATGCTCTTATCACAGTGTCCTGTCGTTGAATTTCAGGAGCAACCAAATGAAATAGTGCTTCATATGTTCCACTGTAAATTCTTAGGAAATTCTTTAAGTCAACAGGAGATGTTTCTTTTAGCTCCTTTAAACGATTAGGATGGGTGAGTATTTAGTATTAGTATAGACATACTGTGCTTTCTTTTTGTCGATTGCTTTTTTTCTTTTTTTTCCTAACATATGTATATGTATGTATTGCCATTACGGCAATTACTGTCTCGGTGTCCTAGGACATTTTGACTCGTTGACAAATGTAAACAAAACGAGAAGGGACGTGTGAGACGCTTCTTACGCGTCACAACTTTTATACCCGGTACTCAGTACTACATACATCTGCACCTTAGGTTATTTGTCAAATTTTACATTTTTTTTTTCATCTGTCACCACGATAGAATTTGTTGGAAACATGTAGGGTTCGAGTCGTTGGTGGTAGTGTTCGGGTCGACATTTCGAGTTCGAGTTGTGTTCGAAGAGAATAGAAATTATTATATCTTCGTTGTGGATGGCAATTTTGGCACGAACATCATTTGTAAACAATTTCTACAAGAATTAATACATTGCCTGCTTTGCTTTTTTCATTTTTTTTTCCAAACATATGTATTGTCTTTGATGTAAATGAGGGTAGCTTGGTATTAGTGCTGATGACGATAAAATTTGTTTTCCTTTTGCGACTGGTCCTTGCATACTCGCGTATAACTTCACCTTGATGAATTGATTTATTCGAATACGCTACTTTTCTTAACCATTCTAAGAGCAAACTTATGACTTTTCACCGCCGTGCTCCACATTGTATCGCCTATTCTCTAGGCACCACATTCTGGATTGACTAGGAGTCCTTTTTGATAACAAGCTATTGACATCTATAAACGTCGCGTTCATTGCATGGGTGTCGAGCCTGCTCCAGACCAACCCCCAACCCGTACTTAAATGCCCAGCACATGAAGCAATAATTATAATTACTTTTACCATATAGTCCCCCGAAATATCCCTTCCCTTGAAAAAATTGTATGTAACATTTACCATTTACAATCCCCATAGTTTCGCAAATTTTGAAAATTGTATCTTTCCTTCCTCTTCTGTACTTACATATGTATATTTAATTTATATTTATTCTTATTCCATATTCCATAATTAGCAGATAATTCTTAAGTTAAAATAAATAAATAAATATAGTCAAATGTTGAATTTTGCATATCGTACAGTGCGCACTGCCTATCGATAGCAGTAGTTTGCACTATTACCGATAAAACCGATTAACATTCTGTTCACTGAAACAGTCATTAACAGTTCATTTTCCTTCAGTTTCCAAACAAAATCCATTCGTGGGTGGTTTTTCTGATAATTTCTGAACGAATAAAACACGAAATGAGCAACACTTCAATGAACAAGAGCAACGAGGGCGACGACGGCTGGCAATGGAATGCAAACAACACAAAACTATTGGTGGACCTGTACGAGGAGCGCTACTTACGCTTCCAGGACCCGAGAGTCCGTAAGCGCAGTCTTTGGTTAGAGATAGTCGAGGACATGGAGCAAGCCGGCTACAAAGGCATCTCGGCAGACATCTGTGATCGCAAATGGCGCAACATGCGAAAGACCTACCGCACCTCCAAAGAGGCAATGCTGAAGAGCGGGCGTAAAAGCGTGGCCTGGCCATATTACGATTTCTTTGAAAAAATGCATCAAACGGAGGGACGTCCACAGTCGTCATCAGAGAAAAACTCTGATTCCGATGAAACAACATTCAACATTGCAGTAGCGGATATACTGGCAGCTACGTCAGAGTCCATACCATCCACCACCACTGCCGATGATCTCACAGTGACACAGGAACAACAACGACAGCTGCTTATCCTGGAGCGTAGCCGCATTGCAGCCGTGAAGGAGTTGAGCAGGCGCATCGACGAGTCCAATGCCATACAACGCGATCGGAACGATCTGCTCAGAGAATTTCTGACAAAAATATAGTCCCATAGCTAACTGACCAACTAAATTCGAGTATATTTAAATATTTTTTATAAAACTAGCTATGAGGCGATCGCGCTTTTCTTCCACCGCCACCATATTGTCCGTGTCCAGCAGCCCATGCTGCCGAGAGTGGATTTTCTGGTGGTTTTCCGGCAGCATATCGAAGGCCAGAATGTCATCTTCGATATCCTCCCCACCAGAGCCCAGTATAAAATTGTGTAGCATGCATGCGGCGGACACAACTGTGGTGCCCACCTCCAGTGACGACACATCTAGCGATTCCAGGCGTTTGAAGCGTGCTATGAGTGTCGCAAAAGCTCTCTCCCCAGTTGCTATCCACTGACGTATGGCCAGATTGTACTGAGCATGGCAAGGGGTTGGCTCACCCACGTAGGGCGTCATCAGATTCAGCAGTAGCGGATACGTTTTGTCCCCCACTATGTGTTTGTGTTTTGCCATCAACGGCGTCTCCATGTCAATGAGATCCTCGAACAGGGGACTGGCCACCAGAATGCATTGCTGTTCATCGGCCACATCAATGTAGACATTGAGAAATCGACTTTGCGCATCGCAGACAACTTGCAGGGCCAACGTCGGATACTGCTTCGGACTGTCCTCGTCAATGCGTATAGGCAGCTTGAGGGGTATGCGACACTCGTCGATGACGCCCAGCACGCCTGTGAGTTCGCTTATCGCTGCACTTCCCTCGTCTGCTGCGCCATATTTCGGCCATTTAACGTAGCACGGCAGGAGCGCGGCAAAGGCAGAAGTGACCCACTTGAATATCTCATGACCAGAGCTCTTAGATATGGAATAAATCTCGCCAGCGTCCCGAAACGAGATGCCGCCGCCGAGCAGCATCAAAGTGTAGAGCAATTTTTCTGGCAGGGAAACGCTCCCAATGGGCTGATAGTGTTCCGCTCCAGCAATAGCTCGTCCTACCACCTGCAGCAATTTCTGCAAAGGGAAACGGTTGGTTTTATAAATACTTTAAATCTATGAACCAATGCCAAACCTCAAAGGTCGATCGCTGCATGCGAAATCGCTCCTTGAATTGATCGTCCATTTTTCGAACTGTTTCGTCCTTTTCCTTTAAGTCTTCTTCTTCGGCCTCCTCCTTGACTGTTTCCTTCACTGCCATGTGCTGTGTCAGGCTGCCCTCAAGGCAGGCCAAGTGAGCGGCCTGATGCAGCAGATTTGCGTCCAGTCCATCTTCCAAAAATAAATTCAACAAAAATGTTTTCCGGGCGTTCATTCTGCACAAACATAAACAAACGCTAACAGGTAAAAGTGCGCATAACAGTGTGCTGTTAAGCGCAGGGAAGCGTCTGCAAAGAAGCGATAGAAATTTGCTGTACATTTTCAAATTTGGTTTATTTTAGAATTATGAAACATTTTTTATGGTGAAACGTAATTAATTTTCATTTAGCAAATATCGGATAATACATGACAATTGGCATTCGGGGAATATCAGAATTGTATGAGCGGCTGCTTTTGGGTGGCCCGATACGCCACAATGCTGGGCATCAGTTGACTGCGAAAATGCTCATGGCTTCTGTTGAAGTCCTCCCTGGCTTTGTCCTGTCGCCGCTTTAGCTCGGCGCTCTCTATGTGATTGTTGTTGGCGTTGCGCGGTAATACTGTAGAAGGTCTGCCGCCAGGCGTTTGCGAGCTCTGATGATCGATGTAAAAGGCACTGGTCGTTGGTTGTGGTGCCGGACGTCGGGGCGCCTTGGGCGTACCATGTGGACTGCCATTTCCATTGCCATCTGCAAGTGGTATATGTTTATAGCCTTGCGTGGAAAATATGCAGCAAATTTTCGAAATTATTTCGCCCAGCGGCATGTTTTGATGGAATTCTCACAGACAGAACTGAACCTGGACCGATTCAGACTGAACTGAATCTGATAGGGTTCGAGGGCGAGCTGGCAGTGACGAAGAATCTTTGGTATTTTTTGTTTGGTTATGCTCTTGCTCTCACTCTTATCTCTATGCAATGTAACGGTAAAGAGGAAAACAGCTGGCGCTGACGTCACCAGTTCAGGGCGGGCGTACCTTGCTTAATCATGAGCTGCTCCTGCTGTAGTCGCGCATTGCTGGAGCCAAAGTAGCCATTGACAAACGGCATGGGCGACATGACCACTCCGCTCCGCAGTGCACTTTCGGGCGGTGGCGGTGCTGGACGATTGAATGGATTTGTTCGCCTGGGCGGAGGTTTTGGCTTGGATCCTGCTATGGCATTCTGCGAAGTTTCACCCACGTTCCCCAGCATCTCTGCAAAAGTTCATACATTAATGGAACATTGTTAGCTCCAAGGACTCCTGCTTGGCTTACTGTTCTTGGCATCCTCGATCTCCTGCAGCTGCCTTTGCAGCTCTGCCACAATTATCCGTTTGTACTCGTAGCCGGCACAGGTCAGTGCCTTCATCCATGTCTCCATGCTTTCCTGATCTTCGGCTGCGAGGATGTACGTGCGATTGCCATTGAAGGCAATCTCAAAGCAGTAGTTGTCCACCTCATTGGACAGTTCTATGGTGCATCCCTCGACGATAATCAGGCCCAGGGGCTCTTTATCCGTCCGAGCGTCGAAATAAAACAACAAATTGCCCTTCAGCACAAAGTAGCGTCGTTGAAATGCTTTGTTGACCTCGCCCCGCTTGTTCAAGAAGCCTACGAAACAAATTTCTGGTGATTAATAGCCAGAACAAACAAAACACCTCCATTACATTACCTTCGATATCGTACGGCGGCGTTCGCGCAAACACAGACAAATTCTTCTCGTTTATCTTCATGCTGGCCCGCGAATGGACTGGAAACTACATTCGAATTATAAATAACGTTCACCCAGATTATTTTTGTCGGTTCTTTTTCGTTTTCTTTATTATTGTGATGTGCAGGTAACCAAAAAAAGTGCCAGAATTGATGATATCGTGGAACAGCTGTTGAGGGCACGCAACTATCGCAACTATAACAGCAAAACAATGCTGGTGAACTATCGGTTTGGTCCCTTTTCGGTCGGCGTCTCATCGGCAAACGTTCAACAAAATTGCAAACCAACGATTTAGAAGAAAAACTCAACGATGTCGTACCTCCTTACCGAAATAGCCCTGGAAATGCTGGGCTACAAGTTCTACGACACCAATGGAACGTTTCATCTTACCAATTTCCAAACAAATACGGCCTTGGCAGAGACCAATCCCAACGAGCCGTCGCTGGAGGAGTTAATTTACTCCGATGAGCCCCATCGCGTTAATGGAAACTCTACTGCTGGCAAAACCAAAGAACCAACTGCGTCTACAAGCAAGGGCCAATCCACTGAGACCGCTACTCTGCCTCTCAATACGCGCCGCACGCCGGCTCGTGCTTTGGCCAAAATCATGGACTACGAAAGTGATAAAATTTGCAACCAGATCCGTGCGCGACTGGGCAAGTCGATCATCAAGGCTAATGCGGGAAACAACGAGAAGCTGCTGGAGGAGTGCTTAAAGGAGGAGACGAAACTGATCCAAGAGGATGCGATTGAGATGCAAAATTTCCGCGCCTTTTTGGAGGATCGGCTGCAGCGTGTCGACAAGCGACCGTACGAAAAGTACACCAAGACATTTGGTGCCGAGTAAAAACCATATCGAATATCGTAAACACCCAAAGAGAAAGAAGAATTCTAAATTTATTCTGTTCTAAGAATGTTCCTAAGAATTTCATTAAAATGTAATAAATAGTCATGTAAATTTAACTACATATGTTAATGGCTTTCATTGATTTAATAATGTGACCATACTAAAGCTTTCGTGTCCCATCGATACCTATCAGCCATCGGCAATTTCCCATCACTACTCAGCGCACAACACAGAGTAAAGGTTAGATTCCCCCCCTCGCCATAATTCGTCTGAAATATTCGATAATTACAGCATTTTTTGTCAAAATTTCGTTTGTGGAACACACCTAACACTATCTGATTATACTTTGATTTACCCCACTGCCCTTGCAGGCTGCAAACAAGCCTAGTGCTCTGCTGCGAATAAACGAAAGAGAGTCAAATTACCCAGCCCCACGACAACGAAACGGAGTGACGACAACGAGGCTTGCATAATGAAAATCTGGACGTCGGAGCACATATTCAACCATCCATGGGAGACGGTTACACAGGCGGCATGGCGAAAATATCCGAATCCCATGACGCCCTCGATCATTGGCACTGACGTTGTCGAGCGACAGGTCATCGACGGCGTGCTGCACACACATCGCCTGGTGCAATCCAAATGGTATTTCCCGAAGTGGACGCACGCGCTGATAGGCACCGCCAAGTCGTGCTTTGCCAGCGAACGCTCGACGGTGGACCCGAAAACCAGGCAGATGGTCTTGAAGACAAACAATCTCACATTCTGCCGGAACATAAGCGTCGACGAGGTGATATACTACGAACCACATCCTGCAGATGCCAGCAAAACGTTGCTAAAACAGGAGGCCACAGTGACTGTCCATGGGGTGCCGCTGTCGCACTACATGGAAGACTTGCTCACATCCACGATTAGCTCAAACGCTGGCAAGGGACGCCAAGGACTGGAATGGGTGATCGGACTGATCAATACGGAAGTTAAAGGCATTGCCGAATCGGCGGCTCGGGGCACCGATGAGCTGATACACACAACGCGGCGTTCCATTGATGAGGTCACAGAGAGTGCCCGCAAGGGCATGGATGAGATCAGTGTGCAGGCATCCAAGGCGGCAAAAGCGATGCACATAACATAGACCCTAGTGATGCAGGGGCTGGCTGAGTGGAGAGATCAGCTGATATTAATCTAAGCGCAAGATACGCTGTTTTTTTAGTACAACATTTAGTGCAACACATCAACAACAACAACATACATACATACGAGCAGCCGCAAATTCGATTGTTTCCTCAAATTCCCTGATTCCCTGATATATATTTTATATACAACACGACCACACAATGGTTATCAGTCGTGGAACTGAAATTGATAAGATTGGCGGCGGGCATAGGTTACCTGAGCCCCGCGCCATGCGAATAGTATAGTTAGCTGCAATGAGTAACAATAATCAACTATATATACTGTCAAAACTAATTATGCAAATCAATTTAAGTTTAACAAGTTTATAAAATGCCACAGCAAACATGGAACGGAACGGAACGAAAAGAGCAAACATTAAAAGCTACAATTTGCATACAAAATGCGTTTCAAGTTCAAATGGTTTTTTCATTGTATTTAATTTGCTATATTCATGTATTGCGTATTGTCACTGAAGTGACCGCTAAATGTAGCAACTGCCACGATTTTGAATGGCATATAGTAAATACAATTCGACAGGCGAATGCGGAATGCAATTATTTCCTTCCCCTCCCTACGACACGTTTTGGCTTCGTTTCGTAAATGTTTGGTTGTTTTTTATAGCATTGCATCTGCTTGAAAGGTATTCGACCGACCTGTGACGTCGTCCGCCTTATAGGCGCGCTGAATTCATTGATTTGTTGCTGTTGCCATACGGGGCGCCCCAACACCCCCACCCCACGTGCTGATAGCGACCTGTCTCGCTCGCGCTGCAGTGGAAAGGTTTTTATTTGAACAAGTGCTTTTGGTCTGGCTTTTCTGGAGCTGCGCAGTCGGCTATAAAAGCTGCTGCTGGCTGTTATGAAGCGAACAGAATTTACCAGCTTTAAAGCTGTCAGCTATTTCATTGCTTGCTAGCTGCATTAAAAATGGGGAATTGTAATATTAATTTAAATTAATCTCAAGAAACTCATTTCATTTGACTCTAAGCTTTGTGCGCATTTCTGAGCAGCGAATAGCTGTTGCAAGCAACACTTAATTAACTTAACTCAAATCGCTTTCACGAATACCCCAAATGTCAGCTTAGATTACGCACGTGCGCGCGACGCTTAATTTATTGTTATTGTTGTGCTTTAATTTTGGTTAGTTAGCTAGTTTAATTGTTGCTGGTATGTATACAAGTACGATGACGGTTTGCTTTGTTGAAATTAGCCTGTTTGCGATGGAAAATATGTAGTGACGCTGTCTTATCAGCGAGCCCCCCAAGCGGCAGATGCAAAAACAAGTTGTGACTGCAGTGCATCGAATCGAATCAGCTCGGATCGGGTGCTGCTGTAACCTGATCTGGTAGCGGTGCAGCGGGGCTGCGGTGGAGTTGGAGGTGTCGGCTGCCGTTGATAACCCCCAGCGTAGGCACTGGCCTGGTTGTCAACGGCTTCGCCTCGGCAGCCCCAAGATCAGTTGCGTTTCGCAAAGCAAAGCGCACGCACGCATCAAATACATCAAAACCAAACCAATTGTAGACTGTTGCTTAATATCGATCAGGATCTCTTACAGGACTGCAACATGGTCATTCTACGCTACTACGATGTGGAGGCCTTCGACAAAGCCGAGCAGCAGAGAGTTCTGCTTCGGGTGCAGAAGGAGGATCCCAGTGTGGTTGCCGTGCAAATGGAACGCTGCTATCACCTGGAGTACACCGCTGAGTTGAACCACTCCATGCCGCTGGTTGAGCTGCTCGTCTGGCTGGTCAAGCAGCCCATGGACAGCGGAAAGAGTCTGACCAAGCAGCCCAGCTTGAAGATGGCCAAGAAGGAGCGCCAACTGCTGCTGGAGATTGGTCCCCGCTTCAACTTTTCCACGCCATATTCCACAAACTGTGTGAATATCTTCCACAATCTCGGCTACACTGAGGTGCGACGTATGGAGTCCTCGACCCGTTATTTGCTGACCTTTGGCTACGACGGGCCCAGGGAGCTGTCAAAGTACGCCCTGATGCTGGGCGATCGCATGACACACTGTCTGTACACGGCGGAGAACATTCCGAAGCAGAGCTTCGATGAGCAGCTGCCGACTGGGCAAACCGACTGGCACTTTGTCCCCGTCCTGGAGCAGGGTCGAGCCGCTCTGCAGAAGATTAACCAGGAGTTGGGGCTGGCCTTTAACGATTACGACTTGGACTACTACCAGGAACTGTTCGGCAAGACCTTGAAGCGCAATCCGACCACTGTGGAGCTGTTCGACTGCGCCCAGAGCAACAGCGAGCACTCCAGGCATTGGTTCTTTCGCGGACGCATGGTGATTGACGGCGAGGAGCAGCCAAAGTCGCTGATACGCATGATAATGGACACCCAGGAGCACACCAATCCCAACAACACAATCAAATTCAGCGACAACAGCAGCGCCATGAATGGCTTCAAGCACGACACACTGCAGCCATCGACAGTGTCATCGCCGGGACCGGTTCGCCAGGCGACCGTCCAATCGGACCTCATCTTCACAGCCGAGACACACAACATGCCCACGGCTGTGGCGCCTTTCAGTGGTGCCACCACTGGCACTGGCGGTCGCCTGCGCGACGTTCAAGGCGTGGGCCGGGGAGGTATACCCATTGCTGGCACCGCCGGCTATTGCGTGGGTGCTCTGCACATTCCGGGTGAGTCCACAATACATTAGGAACTATCACATACGGATCTTTGTTCACATTTAAGTCACATTTACACTTGAGTTTTGGTAAGAGTTTAACAGATTTATTAGTCTTCGTCGTTGTCCGAATCATTGGCATTTCCAGACCCCGAGAAGGCAAATGCACCTACAGCCGCGCCTAAAAGTACTCCACCAATGACACACAGAGTAGGGAATATATTCGATTGTGTTGTCCCTTGATCGGTACTTTGTGGCGTTCGCGTCCGAGTTCCTGCGCTTGCCTGGAAAGATCCAGATTGTCGATCATAGCGCTTTCGAGACACCCTGTCTGAGAGCACTTTGAAGGCAGCGTTAATCTTCTTGAAATGCTCGACTGACTTGGGATGATTGTTCTTGTCCGGATGGTAAATCAGAGCCATACGCTTGTACGCCTTAACGATCTCATCGTCTGTGGCTGTTTTGCCTACTCCCAAAAGCAGATAAAGGTCCTCTTCCATTTGGAAATTTATAATTGGATCTTCAAATGAAAATAAGCCACGTACGCAAATGCGTACATATATTTACATATTTACAATTAGTTAGTAGTTAGTTAGTTGCAGTTGAAGGAAATCGATCGGCAAAATACTGGATTTAGCATTTTTTTGGGGGGTTGGCAGGCGATAGTCGAAGGGTCAAGCCGATAAACGGTGCCGAAGAGCGAGGGAAGGGAAAAATAGAAGAGTATGGGGGAGGGGAGGGGAAAGGGGACCACAACGGCAAGATGGAGAAAGGCCGCCACACTTGGGAAGGAGATCTGAGGTATTCTGAGTCGCATCTCAGGTAGAGTACGTAGGACTAGACCATCGGCACCTCAGACTTGTCCACGTCTGTGTTGGAGAGCTGTTTGTCCGTTAGATGTAGAGTAAAGTTCGATGAATTGTTTTGAATTATAGTTTGTTTTTTGGGTATCTGTTCGAGATGTCCGAACAGTTGGTTTGTTGTGCGACCTGGGGGCCTGGTGTGTATAAGTAGCTCGATGAGCTATTTTTGGAATTTAATCTTGGATCACATGGTGCTTAGGTTTTTAATACTTTTTTACCGTATTTATACTTTTTGTTGAAAAATCTTACATTTCCACATCTTAAATAATTAGTCCAAAATGTCTTTTCCCTCCAGGTTATAAGCAGCCCTACGAACCTACGGCTTTCAAATATCCCCCAACGTTTGCGTCACCGCTGCAGATCCTCATAGAGGCCAGCAATGGCGCCTCCGACTATGGCAACAAGTTCGGAGAGCCTGTGATTTCTGGCTTTGCTCTGTCCTATGGTCTCAAGAATGCTGCCGACGACAGCCAGCGGGATGAGTATGTAAAGCCGATCATGTTCAGCGGCGGACTGGGCACCATGCCCGCAGCCATGCGTGAAAAGTTGCCTCCGGCGCGCGGCCAACTGTTGGCCAAGATCGGCGGTCCGGTCTATAGGATCGGTGTCGGCGGCGGTGCGGCCAGCTCGGTGGAGGTTCAGGGCTCTGGCGACGCCGAACTGGATTTCAATGCCGTGCAGCGGGGTGATGCCGAAATGGAGAATAAATTGAATCGCGTCGTGCGCGCCTGCCTGGAGATGGGCGAACGTAATCCGATTCTGGCCATACACGATCAGGGAGCCGGCGGCAATGGCAATGTGCTGAAGGAGCTGGTGGAGCCGGGCTTCGCGGGTGCCATAATATTCTCGAAGGAGTTCCAGTTGGGTGATCCCACCATTACGGCGCTGGAGCTTTGGGGCGCCGAGTACCAGGAGAATAATGCCATACTCTGCAAAGCGGAGCACCGTGGCATCTTGGAGAGGATTTGCAAACGTGAACGCTGTCCCATTAGCTTTGTGGGCGTAGTCACGGGCGATGGGCGTGTCACATTGGTTGAAGAGGCTGCCCCCAAGGACATGGAAGAGGCTCTCACAGCAGTGCGCGGCAGGCCGTCACCATTTGACCTGGAACTGAAGCATGTCCTGGGCGACATGCCCAAGCGGACATATGATCTGAGTCGTCAAGTGACACAACTGCAGGAACTGATTCTCCTCAAGGATGTACGCCTTGACGAAGCCCTGGAACGGGTGCTCAGCTTGGTGGCTGTGGGCAGCAAACGCTTCCTAACCAACAAAGTGGATCGCTGCGTCGGCGGACTGATTGCCCAGCAGCAGTGTGTGGGTCCCCTGCAGGCACCACTGGCCGACTACGGCCTCACCACAGTGTCCCACTTCAGCACGTCGGGCATCGCCACCTCCATTGGTGCACAGCCGATTAACGGATTGCTCGATCCTGCTGCCATGGCCCGCATGAGTGTTGCCGAGGCACTGAGCAATCTGGTATTTGTGAAGATCAGCGAACTAGCGGACGTCAAGTGCTCTGGCAACTGGATGTGGGCTGCAAAGTTGCCCGGCGAGGGAGCCAAGATGTACGACGCCTGCAAGGAGGTCTGCCGGATGCTCGAGGAGCTGCACATTGCCATCGATGGCGGCAAGGACTCTCTGTCCATGGCCGCCAAAGTGGGCGGCGAGACAATCAAATCTCCGGGCACTCTGGTCATATCCACCTACGCTCCGTGTCCCGATGTCAAGCTCAAAGCCACGCCCGACCTCAAGGGCCCCGCCGCGGGCAAGAGCACAGTGCTGCTGTGGATCAACATGGAGGGAAGCTTTCGCCTGGGTGGCTCTGCGCTGGCACAAGCCTACGCACAGCAGGGCAACGAGTCACCCAATCTGGTGCGCAGCGATGTGCTGGCCCAGGCCTTTGCTGTCACTCAATCGTTGCTAGGAGAAGGTCGCATCCTGGCTGGTCATGACATCAGCGATGGCGGCCTGCTCGTTTGCCTCATCGAGATGGCCATTGGCGGCCTGAGTGGCCTGGAAGTGGACATGGCCGAACCGCTGGCGAAGATTGGATTGAAATTCGACGAGGCTGTCAATAAGATCGAACGCCCTGAGCTGGCGCTGTTCTTTGCCGAGGAGTGTGGCTGGGTGCTGGAGCTCCTCGAGTCTGACTTGAAGAGCGTTCGTTCCATCTACGACGATGCGGGCGTGCCCAACTATTATCTGGGTGTAACCGAGGGCTTTGGCCTCGACTCCAGGGTGGTCATCAAAGAGGGAGCCACCTCTGATCAGCTGATACTGACTCAGCCACTGCGCCAGCTCTACAGACAGTGGGAATGCACCAGCTACGAGCTGGAGAAGCTTCAGACCAACCCCATTTGTGCCCAGGCGGAATACGACAGTCTGGACTATCGTCAGGCGCCGCAGTACAAGTGTCCCATGAATCTGAGCTCTGAGCTGGCCCTGGCACGCTCTTCCCAGAAGATTCGCGTGGCCGTCATCCGCGAGGAGGGCGTCAACAGCGAACGCGAGATGATGGCCTGTCTGCTGAAGGCAAACTTTGAGGTGCACGATGTCACCATGTCGGATCTTTTAGGAGGTGAGCAATCCATTCCATTCCCGAAGCGCATTCCTAATTGTTTTGTTGCAGGTTCCGCCACCTTGTCTCAGTATCGTGGTGTCATTTTCCCTGGCGGCTTCAGCTATGCTGATACTCTGGGATCTGCCAAGGGCTGGGCCGCCAACATACTGCACAGTCGCCTGCTGCAGCCGCAGTTCGAGGCCTTTAAGCAGCGCCAGGATGTCTTCTCCTTGGGCATTTGCAATGGCTGCCAATTGATGACACTAATTGGCTTTGTTGGCCGTCCAGTGGGCAGCTCGACAGCAGCTGGCGCAGATCCCGATGTGGCCTTGCTGCACAATCGTTCACAGCGTTTCGAGTGCCGCTGGTCTACCGTCAGGATACCAGCCAATCGCTCCATTATGCTGTCTAATATGCAGGACCTTGTGCTGGGCTGTTGGGTGGCCCACGGCGAGGGACGCTTTGCCTTCCGCTCGGACAAGCTGATTGACCAACTGCAGGCCGAGCAGCTAGTGACACTGCAGTATGTGGACGATGTTGGTACACCCACAGAACTGTATCCGATGAATCCCAATGGCAGTCCCCAGGGCATTGCTGGCCTCTGCTCTCCGGATGGTCGCCATCTGGCATTGATGCCTCATCCCGAGCGTTGCAGCACCATGTACCAGTGGCCATATGTGCCGCCCAGCTTTGAGGTGGCTGCCACCCAAGACGAGAGTCCATGGCAGCTAATGTTCAACAATGCCTACAACTGGTGTGTCCAGCAGCAGTCGAGCGATCATTAAACGCATCACAAAACACATTTCAAAATACATTCCATGTATTTCTAAACCCACGAGCACTCGCTGTATACAGAGTGTATCCAATCCACACAACTTATAACGAAATCAAATATGAACAATTATACAGAGAAGAAACAGCAGCAGTGAAAAGTCCCCGACTAATGCGAAATTTGCAGCAGACATTTAAGATAGTTTGCCTTGGCACCGGGTGCCATCATATACTTGGAGTTCCAGTCGTGCTCGTTTATGTGCAGCACCTTGTAGCCCATCATCTCCAGATGCTTCATCTTCAGCGACTGCGGACCACGCAGTGCGGTCAGATCGTTCTCGCAAAATGAGTCTAATCGCAGCAGCAATATTGCCACCCTGCAGAGAGTTCGGTATGAGGAGAGTTATAAATATGATTTCACTGTGTGCCTACTTCGTTATGCGATCCAGCATGGTGGCCTCTACGGGTGGTGCTGGCATGGGTTTCTTGTCCCGATCGAAATGTATCACAAAGTCAATCTGATAGCCATAGGGCGTGGTGTGGTTGCAGCGGAAGTACTTGTCCTCCTTGAGTAAATGCTTCAGCAAATGTTTCACATCTCTGCCAAAGGTGCTCGGCTGTTGGGACTCTACAATTGGTTGCTCCAATAAATCAAAGGATAACCTTAGTGCTAGCTATAAGTATTCTTACTCTTGCTCAACTGCGCCTCGATGTAGTTCTGTTGGAACCAGGGAACATTCGCCTCCGGCAGATCCAAGCAGACGGTGCGATTCAGCTGCATCACCAGATTGAGCACCCTCTCCGGATAGGTTGCCTTTGAGTAGCACACCTGTATCTCATCCTCGATGCGTTGAATGAACTTGACGCAGAATACCCGATTAATCAGCTCATCCGGTATGGTCTTGTAGAAGCACAGCGCCAGACAGGCCTGCACCAGCGACAGGCCACTCATCTGCTCAAAGTCCCTGGAGGGAAAGTGTTTTGTTAGAAACCAATTTGATTGAAGGCAAGTTGGGGGTTCCTTCATACCTTAGCAAAACACTGGCAGCCCTTTCTAAAGTCTCTGGTGAGGCGGGCGTGTATCCCAGATTGTACGAACAAGTCAGCACCTTCTCCACGGTATCGCCCGTGATGTGCTCGTGCTGTTCCGCAATGTAGCCAAACATGGACTCCAACAGCTCGGGCACAAAAAAATGAGAGGCATTGAAGTTGTACGCCATATCACGAACGACACGCGAGCTGAGATCTTTGCAATGGAGAGTCTTATAGAGGGATAGGGCCTGCATGTAGACCAAAGTGTTCTTCAGAGCTGTGGAGTAATAAAAATAAAATAAATCGTTTTCTGCAGACGGGTTGCACTCACTTTTCCTGTGACTAAGAGTCCGTATAATGATGCTCAGTTCACTCGCTGTGAGTGGCTCTTGCTCCGCATTGGCCAAATGACGCTCCGCACAGCCAATGAGTATGCTGTCCATGGTGGATAGCTGCATGGCCGCCAGTGGCGGTGTGTCCTGACGAAACCTTAGCTCACTGGCTATTTGCATGCTGCGACTGAGCACCAAGCAGTCCAGAATGTCAAACTGCGGAGCCATTGTCAATATTTTGCTCATAAGAATGTTGGGAAACTTCTTCCAGGACAGTTGGGTGTGGCCATAGGCTATCACAAAGGCGGCCAAGCGGCTCACCTTGCTCGGCAGCCTGCCAGCTATGTCCTGCTCGATGGCACTCATGCACATTCGACTCAACTTTCGCTCCACACCAAAGTGGCGATACGTTCCGCCCAGGTTGTTGTTGAAGTTCATGTACCGCTGACAGTGGCCCAGGAATCTGAGGTGCATCTGCTCCTCTGGGCCAGAGTCCAGCTCGCGTATGACACCCGACCAGTACGTGTTGCAATAGCTGATGTTGGATATCTTCAGTGTTCGCAGCACACTGAAGAAGTGGCTGCTCGCTTGGGGCAGCTGCCAAGCGGCGTTCGAGTAGAGCAGTTGGTGAAACATTTTCAAGTACTTTTCCCTTTGCAGCGGCTCGCCAAAGGGCACGGCACAGGCGAGTGCGTCTGGTGTGCACTCATCCGCCAGTAGTTTCTCTGTGGCCTCCTTTAGTGGCTGCATCAGTTCCGCGGGCTCCTGGTGATGCAGAAACGCACGACAAATGCTCTTTATATCGACGGTCTCCAACTGGTGCAGGCATGGCCGCAATGTCAGCAGGATTTCCCTTATCAATTGAGTGTGCCGCTGGGACCACACGCGAATGTTAAGCATGTGCAGCAGCTTCAGTAGGGCTTTGGGTGTATCACAGCTGAGGATGCCGCGTTGCAGCAGCTCGCTCACTCTCTGCTTGTAGTCCTTGAGCAGCTCCTCGTCGATCAGCTGGTGCAGCTGGAACAGGCAAGTGGAGAGAAGCCGCACGTCCTCTTCGCTCTCGCACTGGGCTATGTGCCGCTCCAGATGCGGCAAAAAGTTGCGGCAGACGAGCGGCGTGAAGAAGTCTCGCTCCAAATTGATCCCCACCGAAAGGCGGGAGAGTGCCGTCAGGGGCACAAGGTCGTCCTGCTCTTTTGTATCGATAGCTTGTAGTGCACGGCATAGAATACCCTCCACGGTGGATTCACTATTGGATATGTGCATCTTGCGTAGGTATAGGTAGCTGCAGCTCAACTCATTGATGTCCATGTGGGCTGTATGGGGATCTATGCGCTGCAGCACTTCTTTGTGAACACGCTCCGTAAGAGCTTCTTGATGTGGCGCATCCAAGTTTAGGTAGTGCAGCCACAGCAGGGAAAGACTTTCCACCAGATGGTCTCGCTCCAAGTTGTCTGCTAGGATCATCTCTAGCAGCTCTTCGCTGTTCTTTGTCTCCCTAAGGCGCAGCATGACAGTATCCTCCGCTCCACTTCTCTCTGCTAGACTTTCCATGCGCTGGGAGTAATATTGTAGGTGGATCCGTCCTGCCGGCAGTGCCACCACTGTTTGTATAGGCGGCTTTGCCCCAATATTGACATGCCGTCGTAGCAGCTGCAGTTGACGCATTTGCAGAACATATTGCAAGTACTTCCATTGCCCACGAGGTGCGTAATTCAGGTACATGTTAAACTTCACTTGCTTTATTCAGGAATTGTTAAATAATAATGAAATTGCGACGTATAAACATGCGAAGCAAGACAATCAGCTGTTCTCAGAAATTCGGAACACCCTCTTTGGCGCACACACCTTGCAGTTTTTTACGGGACATGGAGAAATGTCGGCACCAACGAAAAACAAGGTAATTGTGCTCCAGCCAGGCTACTCCCGTGAGGATGAACATGATGCGACTGCCATGAGGGCAAACTGCACCTGTACGCTGGTTCGCTGCAGAGACGGCCTTAATATCATCGTCGACACCATGACAGCTTGGGATGGCGACCTGTTGCGTTCTCTACTGCGGCACCAAGGTCTGGAAGTCGAGGACATACATGTCGTCGTCTGTACCCACGGACACTCGGATCACATTGGATGCAATTATCTGTTTCAATCGGCTCGAATGCATATGGTTGGAGCCTGTGCCTCCAATCGCGACTTATACTTGGACCATTTAACCAGCGACGACGAAAACGAGGAACTGGCATTGGATACAAATGGCGAGGTTGTGGTCAAGCGGACGCCCGGGCACACGCTTAGCTGTGTTTCTGTCATCGTGCAAAACACACAGTTTGGCGGCGGCCCGGTGGGTATTGCTGGAGATCTCTTCGAGCGCCGTGAGGATGTGGAGGATGAACGCATTTGGCGGAATGCCGGTAGCGAGGATGAGAGCAGTCAGCGCGTGGAGCGCAGTAAAATGGCGCTATTGTGCGATCACATTGTGCCAGGACATGGACCAATGTTTTCTTTGAACACGGAAATGCGCCTTAAGTTAAAACAATTCGCTGAATTGCAGAAAGTAAATAATAAATAATAGTTGTAATGGCCACCACCTCTAGCTCACACGTCTTGCAGCTATAAATATCGATAGTGTCAACGATAGTTGGCAGCCCTAGTGACCCATCGCTATTGCAATACATTTAGACTCAAAAGTTCGTTGGAGAGGATTGCCCTGACGGTTTAGACACAGGAGAGAATTTCCCTGGGAGAACTTCCCGTAGGATTAAAATTTACCCGGCGCCACTGGAATTTTTGTGATGTATTTACCTGTTGTCGACACCTTAGTTTTTGGTACAAATTTCGCACCATGAAAGCTGTTTTGCTTTGTTAAGGGAGTTCTGAAAGCTCTTTTCCTTTGCGAAGGGACTATGAACAGCTAATGGGAACAACTAAATATAAAATAAAATATATGAATATTGGGCTATAGACAATGTATGGTTCATGGTATATATTTATTTATGTATTTTCAATTAAGAATGTGCAATGTGATGTTTGTTGGGATTTTAACGCCAGAAACACTTGCTTTGGGGACAATGTCACCAATGCCAAGGGTAGATTCCTAGAGAACTACATGCGTAACTCCGGTTATAATTGTTTGAACGATGGAAAGTGCACCTTTAGACGTCACATCTACAGTCAAAGTGGCTCAGTGTTGGATTTGTCCTTCTCAAACTGCAGCGATAATGTCACCTGGAGCTGCAATTCAATTTTTGTTGGAGGCAGCCACCATCATCCTATTTCCATAGAAATTCCGGAGTGCAAAGAGAAGCCCAAGTTCTTCCTTGCTAAAAATAGACTGCTGCGAAGGCTAACAGGTGCTCCATCAGGAGACATTTCAAACATCACAGAAAGCTTCACATACAACATTAGGGCCTCCACCTACTCCTTGAGCAACCATAGATGCCCCAAGACTTGGTGGAATCCAGAATTGCAACTGTTTTACTCCAAATATACCGAAGCCCAGATCCAGGCACAAAGAGCTCCAAGTCTGACAAACTACATAAAAGCTGTTAAACTGAAAGTAGAATGGAAGAAGGCAGTAATACTTGCGAAAATAAACGCTTAAGCCTTAAGCCTGGCTTTTCTTGAGAAACATTAAGTCCTTTAACGATCCCGTAAATTCCAGCTTTAATGCAGAATGGTCCTTGCCTTACCTTGAGTCTCTTAAAAGCCAAGCCTCTGTGTTGGCGAAAGTTCATACCATCTCTGTCAGGCCAGCTTCACTCAACATCGATCCCTTTAACTTAAGCGACCTGTCTGCTGTTCTCAATAGGGGCAGAAACACTGCGGGAGGAATAGATAGAGTTACATATGACATGATAAGAGCCCTCAGGAGCCCAGCACTGAATAATCTTTCACAAGAATACAACATGTTTGTTATTTACAGAATGTAGAGTCCCTGATCAATGGCGTACAATCAAAGTCATTCCCATCCAAAAGAGGGGTAAGGATCTCCATATCTATTAAAACTATCGACCTATCTCCCTCATCTCGGTATTGGCTAAAACTCTCAATCTAATGATCAAGAGTCGCCGAGATATGTTCTTAGACGATCTTATGCCTACCAAAAGGGTAAATCAGCAGCCATGTGCATAAATGATCTCATCAATACCATGGCCTGTGAGAAGAAAAGGGGAAAATTCGTTGCACTTGTAGTAGTAGACATTGATAATGCATATAACGGCGTGAGTCTTCAAACTCTACAATGCTACTGGGATATGAACACATTCCCACGCAATATACTGACTGGATTGTCAATTTCTTTTCGTCTAGACTACTAAAACTGGGTAACTTCAGTAAAGAAATCAATGGTGGGTTGCCTCAAGGCTCCTGCCTCTCATCTCTACTTTTCAATCTGTAGACCAAAAGACTGCTTCAAATCAATGATTCACATACTTCCATTATTCAATTTGCTGATGACTTTGTCACCATCTCGACAGGTAAGAACATAAATGATGCTTGCAAAAACTTACAGGTAAAGATCAACGACTTTCACCTTCTCTGTCAAGACCTAGGCCTTAATTTCAACCCCAGCAAGTCCTCAGTTATGTTTTGCAGTAGTAAATTACCTTCTTAGGCAGGGTCATAAGTGCCAACATGTCAGACAAACTGCACATTGCAAAAATCAGGGACAAATCAGACAAAAGTGAGCTTTTGTTGCATGCTGTAACTACCATCAAAAATCCTTTATCAGATCTCAGCAGTGAAGTCTCTAAGCCTGACCTTGTATAATGATGTTATTAAACCCACTGCAAAGACTGCCTACACAGCTGTGTACCAAGAATATAGTGATCTTTTCGGCAATTACAATGAAGCCAAGAAGTACAAACATAGTCCCAAAGCCTTAATTTGTCTGTCAGTCTTTGAAAAAGTCAGGAAAAAAATCGACATCTCAAACGAAGAATGCAATGCGATATATCAAGCTAAGCTTGAAGAATGGGTGTCAGGTGGACGGAACATTCCTTCCACTGATGCATCCATCAATGGTGATAAGACAGGCATAGGTATCTTAGATTACCCTAGTAACTTTAACTAACTTTAGCACTGGGCTCTTGACTGGAGTACAAAAAACATAAAGGTCATAAATAGACTGTTAATTAGTCGAACCTATGATAACGTTTATTTACACAAAATCAAAGCTAAAAACACCAACATTTGCGAAGTTTGCAACGTTCTCGACAATGCGGAAGATGAAATCTTTTCCTGCGAACGACATGCTGTTATCAGGAAAAAATATACAATATTTCATCGCTTTAAAGATCTTAATTAGCTATTGCTCACAAAGGAGCCTGTTTTTTTAGATAATTGGCCAAATTTATTAATGAGGCTAATTTGGAGTTGTGAATCGAAACACACTGGATTTTATTCTGGTCGGGTTAACTAGGTGCCAACGGAAGTCACCTTGAGGAGCAACCTTCTGTTGTTCCTACTTTCTGAGGCAACCTTCTGTTGCAATACACACCTACACCTACACATACACATCAATCCATTTCACTACTATATATTTTGTTAAACTCTTATACGCGTCCACACTTTAAACATATTGAATCATATTGTTTAAATTGAAAGAACATTGCCCGCACTTAACAGCAATCATCGATAGCAAGACTCATCAACAAATATCGACAGAAACACCGAAAATAAAAATATCGACAGCCCCAACATCGAACTGAAGTGCTGCAAACTATTCGGGTCATAAAAGCTAAACTAGCCTTTAAAATAAGCTACAAATAAATGGAAGCTACAAAAACGCTATTTTAACAGCAGAATCTCGCAAATTATAACCATTCTGTTCCTGGGGTGATTTTAATTTCTGAAAAATTAAAATTTCTGGACATTTTTATTTATTAACAATATTTTTCCAGAATTTTTCTTTCAATTAAATGCTCTTTTGACTTATCGATCTTTTTTTTTGCCGTTCAAAAGGAAACAATACTAGAAAGTACTTAATTAAAGCATAACAATAATTGAAGATGGCAGATGTTTTGAATAAACTAAAATAACGCAAAAATATCTTGTAAAATAGCTATAATTTCCGCTACCCGCTATTTTACAGTTTAAAGCCTAGTACTCAGATCGAAAAAAGGGACCGCTAGAAACCGTATGGAACCGATAGGAAATTTTTGCGCGCCCAAGTTACTTTCTAGCGGCTGTACGTCAGGCAGTACTCAGATCGACAAAAAACAGGCCGAAATAAGGTAGAAAGTCCGAGTATTTTATGGTATTGATAGTATTTGTGTGGTATTGGTTGGTATGTTGTCAGCAGCTCGATCCCAAATATAGATCTATTTTAATTTCCGAGAGGGTACCTAGCAAATAGAGAGTAAAGTCCCAATCAAATGGAGGCTACAATGCCGCTGAAATTGAAATATAAATGACCACCGTGCTTCTAAACGAGCTTAAGGCCATCAAACAGCATAAAAGGAAAAAATTATTATAGATTAATGAACGCCAGTATCTTCATGTTGTCAAGACACAGACACTGCTGGGCTGTTAACAAAAGGTTTTGAATTGTTTTCCTTTTGGGACCAAGTACTGCTCCAAGGGGCGATGGCGACAATCTGGGCTCGACACTATCCAATGTTGAATAGGAAGGGTGCTTGGAGTTTTACAACTTAGCAACGGGCGCCAATTCTCTGTCGTATTTTCAAACTGCGGAGTATGCAAAGGGTATCGTTTCATGGGTTTCCATAAATGTACACATATTTATATGAGTTATAATACTCAAATGTATAGACAAACGACCGTTCTGGTTTCTTTCCTGCAGATATGGGTTTAATCAAAGTTGTCGGCACTTATTTCGCTGATTGTCCTCCTCCTCCGATCATGCAAGAGCCGCCAATCCCACTAAAAGCAATCTCCTGTATGGATCCATTTTGCATTCATTGTTTTATTAACCTTTTATTCAATTTTCACACATTTTCAAAAAGGTAAACAAAACAACACAGTTGCCTGAGAAGTGTAACCGCACGGAATGCGGTTTTAACCTCTGGTCACACTCTGCTGCTAGCTAAATATATTTTTCGATCTGAGTACTAGGCTTTATCCCGAATTTGACAATTAAAAAAAGCTAGATCTAGTTGGAAAATGGCTAAATTGTCAACACACAGTATCTCTTCAATGCGGACTCATCGTAGTCCAATTTCACGACAGCGATTAAATACCAAAAAAAAAAATTTCGTTTAACAAACCAAAACAAACACAAATTGTCAACTACCCGTGTCTATAGCGAAATGGATCCTTCCACAAGTCTGGCCGACAAGTTGGCCTCTAAAACGGCCAGCAGCAACTCACTGGACAGCAGTTCCAAGTCGAGTTCGCTGGGCTCCAAACACGGTGGCGGCGAAAATGGTGGACTGCGGGACACACCCTTTGCCTACTTGGACGGCGAAGAGGATCAGGATCAGAAAAACGATGTTACTTACGTCTGCCCATACCGCGGACCAGTCTTCGGAGCACTGACCATAACCAACTATCGCCTGTACTTCCGTTCGCTGCCGCTGAGGGATCAAGAGCCGCCCGTGGTGGTCGATGTGCCGTTAGGCGTGATTGCGCGAGTGGAGAAGATTGGCGGTGCCACATCGCGGGGCGAAAACTCCTACGGCATCGAGATATTCTGCAAAGATATGAGAAATCTGCGTTTCGCCCACAAGCAGCAGAATCATTCGCGCCGCACGGTGTTCGAGAAGCTGCAGGCGAATGCCTTTCCGCTCTCGTACAGCGGCCGCCTCTTCGCCTTTGCCCATGCCGCTGCGAATGCTGTGAACGGCAGCGGCGGCTGGGACGGCTGGGCAGTGTACGAGCCGCTGGCAGAGCTGCGTCGCCTGGGCGTGCCCAACGACATGTGGAGGGCGACCAAGATAAACGAAGCGTATGCTGTTTGCGACAGCTATCCGGCTGTTTGGGCGGTGCCCAAGGCTGCATCCGACGACTTTCTGCGTCGCGTGGCACAATTCCGTTCCCGCTGTCGTCTGCCAGTGCTGTCGTGGATGAACCCCCGGACTCAGGCGACCATAACACGCTGCTCCCAACCCTTGGTGGGCGTGAGTGGGAAAAGGAATGCGGACGATGAGACCTACCTGAGCTACATCATGGAGGCCAACGCTCAGTCGGACAAGCTAACGATTATGGATGCGCGTCCCAGCGCCAATGCCATTGCCAATAAGGCTAAGGGTGGCGGCTACGAGTCGGAGGATGCCTACAAGAACGTGGAGATCAATTTCCTGGACATTCACAACATTCATGTGATGCGTGAGAGTCTGCGCAAGGTGAAGGAGGCCTGTTTCCCCACCACAGACGACTCTAAATGGCAATCGGCCATCGACAACACCCTATGGCTGAAGCACATCAGATGCGTGCTGGCTGGCGCTGTCCGGATAGTTGACAAGGTGGAGACCATGAGCACTTCGGTGGTGGTGCACTGCTCCGATGGTTGGGACCGCACTGCGCAACTGACTGCCCTCTCCATGCTGCTCCTGGACCCCCACTATCGCACTGTGCGCGGCTTTGAGGTGCTCATCGAGAAGGAGTGGCTGTCGTTTGGCCACAAGTTCCAGCAGCGCGTTGGCCATGGCGACAACAAGCACTCCGATGCGGATCGCTCGCCGGTTTTCCTGCAGTTCATCGACAGTGTGTGGCAGGTGGGGCAGCAGTTCAACAACGCCTTTGAGTTCAACGAGCACTTTCTCATAACCATTGTGGATCATTTGTACTCGTGTCGCTTCGGCACGTTCCTTTGCAACACCGAAGCCGAGCGTGTGGCCGAGGGTAAGTCCCATTATGGCTTCTTATGTATGGATACTCATCTGAAACTTTTTGCAGATCTTAAGCACAAGACAACTTCACTTTGGACGCACATAAACTCCTCGTTGGATCAGTATCTGAATCCGCTATTCCCCTCGTTCACGCACGGCGCGGAGCTGGTGCTGCGGCCCATTGCCAGTGTGCGCGCCGTCCGGCTGTGGAAGGGTCTGTACTGTCGCTGGAATCCGGGTCTGTGTGCCCCACAGCATGGCTGCCAACGCACACGGGAGCTGCTCTCGAAGCAGGATCTGCTGTTCAAGCACGTGAATGAGCTGCGCCTCAAGTCGAATAATCGCAGCAACAGCATGCAGACAACGACGCGACTAGCATCGCCCATGCATTAATTAGTATTCTCCTCCTTTCTTTATTCCTTTATATAAATATTAATCGTATAAATATATAACTACTACTTATATACATATGTATATGTGTGACCCACGCGCACTATTCCAAATATAATCAAAATAGGTTTAAAGTATACCTCGAAATGACCCACTCCCCCGTGCCAACTGTTGCATTCAGCCAGACCATTTTCATTCATAAAATAAGCTGCCAGCAGGCGCCTGCGCCTTGGACTACGCACAGGCCAGTTCGGTCCGTGCTCCGTGGTCTGTGGCCTTTTGCGCCAAAAATTAAAATCACATTGCCTCAGTACGTTCTCGCACGTTCATTAATGCAGTCGTGCTTGCCGCACGGATCGGCTGATGCTCTGTTCCGATTAGTTGCTGCTAAAACATGCGAATAATAATTAAATGTTGATGCACATTCGCGTATAAGTAGTGTGGCTTTATAATTATCGCGTCGAAAACTATGCCTAGTTGGTGCCGTGCGGCGGTGGTGCTGTGGCTTTGGTGTCTTTTAAGCTGTCATGGCGGCAGAACAGAAGCTGCGACTGGTACTGGTACTGCAGAGGTGCTCGTGGTCATTGCTTGTCCGCCGCTGCCCCGGCGCTCGCTGGATGAATGTTTTGCATTGGCGGACAGTTTGCGGGAGCAGCAACAACAAATGGCGGGGGTCATCCCCGAGGATTATGTGCTCAGGTTCCACATAATGCATGAGCTATTCAATTATTGGACATTGCTGGACGCATTGCCAGGCGAGACACGTTTGCTAAATGCGCGCACGGAATGGATTATTTGGTGTCAACACAACACGCATGTGGTCTCGCTGCATGGCCTGCTCCAGCAGCTACACAACCAGGACCCAACGGAGGTGAGTAGCTGTCCTCTCTCCTCGAGGAATTGAACTATTTTAATTATTCACTTACAGGCTGCCTACTACGGGCATGCCTTGTACGACACGGAGGCCACGATTGTGCATCATTTTGCACACTACAAGAATCCCAAATGGTTTCCATATCCCCTGCTCAGTGCCGGCGTTGTTTTCACAGGTGTTTTGCTGCGCAGGTAATTCCCTTGAGAGGAGCGAGGTGGGGACGTCATCCATAACTCATAATGAAACATCCATTTACAGGCTGGCGGAACTTGTTGCTCTTAATGCCCAAAATGGCTACCGGCACAGTGAGTTTGCCATAGACGCCGCTCACGAGCTCGCCCGCTTTATATTCGACAACTTAACGCCTGTCACGGACCCCGAACTGAAGGACGACCCAGCAGCAGCAGGCGCAACCTTGGAGCGGAAAATCATTTTGAAAAGTGCCGACTACATTTGTCCCACTCCAGTTCCATGGCATACCCCCGAGACGGGCACAAGGGCACAGCCTGTGCTTCCTTGTATGCTCCATGCAAAGCCCGAGCTGTTTGCTATCGGGAATCGGGAGCGGCAGCGGCAGCGGGTGCGGCTTCAAGGGGTAAGTTTATTTATGCTGCCAGTACTGTATGCTTCCTATTGCCACCAGAGGGGAGACTGTGAGTGTGGGTGTGGATTTAACATACCATTGCCAAGAGAGCACTTTGATTTAGATAAAGCCTCCCCGATTGTGTTCGGATACTTCGATTCCCTTATTTGTTTTTTGCACCTCACTGCAGCAAGCAGTGCATTTTCTGGCTTTGTTTTCGAATTTCTTGAATTTTAAAGCACACACACGGAGGCATCCCATTGGGTGCCGAAGAACGACAATTCCCCCCCTAAGCAATTAGCATTTGAAACCTCTATGACCATAAATTCTCTATCAACATTATCTTGATTCCGCTTTCCACAGCAGGAGCAGCGGCAGCGGCAGCTGCCGGTGCACACAACAGGATCGCAAAACATCTATTTTGCAATCAAGACCTGTGCAAAATTCCATAAGGAACGTATACCAATCATCGAACGCACCTGGGCAAGCGACGCTCGGCACCGTAGATACTACAGCGATGTGGCAGGTAAGCGGCCAGGCCATGCCAGTCCAGGCCAGTCCAGGCCAGTCCGTCCGATGAGTGTCCCCCCGTTGACAATGAGAGGGCAATTAAAGCAAATGAGGATATGGGGATATGGCAGCCAACGAACACACGAATATTTACCCATACCCATACATACAAGTGTGTGCGTGGAGCATTAACAAAAACACGATGAGGCGGAGTGACAGGCAAACAAAACAATCATCCTCATGCAGGACCTGTGCTTTTCGGTCCTCATCTGGCCATCTGACTATCCCCAATGCACACCCCGAGCAATCGAACTTATTGAATATTCATTGATTTGACTTTATGTGTTCCCTCTGGTCTGCCGTCTCCTGGTTGCCACCCCACGTGCCGGGCCCTCCTGCTCTAAACCGCAACAGAAGTCGGCATACCGACAATCAGCACTGGGATACCCAATGTTCAGACTGGACATTGTGCCAAAACATTGGCAATTTTACAATTATCCCTGAAGGATATCAGCGCACACAAGGACATACGCTGGCTCGTGCTCGTCGATGATGATACGCTTCTTAGGTAAGTCGTTGCGGGGAAGCTGTTGGGTCGGGGGGGGATTATGTAGCATCTATTAACATCGAAGAACATCGAGACGTTGATTGGATACTTGATCTACTTGGAGGAGTTGTCTTTAACCACGCTTTAAATGCAGAGCATCCATCCAGTATCCTCCAGCTTGAGTCTCTGTTGGGATATTTTTATTTTCCGGCTTAATCGCTTGACGGCGCATTCAATTAAAAATATTTTTGTATTGATAAATCGCACTCATCCTTGCAACTGCAATTTCCTTTGCACTCTCACCCACACTCTTTGCAATCCCCCACAGCGTGCCCCGACTGAGCGCCCTGCTGAATGGCTACAATCACACGGAGCACATATATCTGGGGGAACGCTACGGGTATCGTTTGTATGCCCCGGATGGCTTCAACTACCACACGGGAGGCGCTGGAATTGTGCTCAGTCTACCTCTGGTGCCACTCGTCCTGCAGCACTGCAGTTGTCCGAGTGCCAACGCCCCGGATGACATGATACTGGGCTACTGCCTGCAGGCACTCGGAGTGGTGGCCTTGCCAGCCGCCGGGCTGCACCAGGCCAGGCCTCAGGACTACGCGACGGAGCTGCTGCACCTACAGCCACCCATTTCGTTTCACAAGTTCTGGAACACCCAGCCGGAGCACACGTACCGCAGATGGTTGGGCGGCTCCGCTGGCAATAACAGTGTGCCTCAGGCGACTGCCAAGGATCGAGCGCCACTTGTGCCCATGCTTGAGGAACGCCTGCAGCTGCCGGGTCTACCCACTGGCCTGGCCACGGCAGAGAAGCATTTGGATCTGTAGTCTGCTGAGGTGAGTACACCTAATTATACTAAAAAAACAATTTCACTCCAACTGGGGGGTTTCTGCTGCCGCTGACAGTTAAACAAAAGTTGCCACCCCGCACAGCAGCCTCAAAAACCAATCTACAGCCAGCCATCAAGCGGCTGCCAAGCACACGAATATTCCTATATTTTCTATAGACCGACAACAAAAAAACATAGGAAACTTGTCAGGTGTCGCGTTTTGGAAGGGGCCATGTACTGCTGTTTGTGTGGCGGTTTTCGTGTCGGTTTAATTAGTGAACATTTGTACTCAAATGCGGTTGAGCCGAGGCTTGGGGTTGGGTTGCTGGCATGCTGATTAGGCGGATTTGTACCCGTCTTTGTGTAGCTATAAATGGTATTTCCATTCGAGAATGGGGTCTGCAAAGAGATTCCCTGTTTACTCCCACAAATCACGTTCTTTTCCTTCGATATATATAAATTCTACCATCTTTCACTTGCCCATAATTTGCATTCGATTTCAATTGACTCGACACTTGTGAGTCCCAAAGCTCTCTGGCTGTGCTTCCGCTCAGCTTGGGATTTGTCACACCTTCGATGGACTTAAATCTCATTAAATGTAAATTTTGAGCGAGCCAAAGGAGCGAATCGAAACGATTCTGTGTCTGTGAATGGCTCTTGCCTTTCAGGGGCATCAACAGTTTCCGCTCGAGTGCACTTTTCGAATGGTTAGCTTAGCCCTTGGGGCGGATATTCCTTGCTCCAGCCCACTTCCACTTCCACTTCCACCTTCACTTCCTACCACGATTGAAGTACTGAGTATCTTTGAGATAAAACAAACAAAGCCGCTCCATTTAACCGGGCAGACAAGCCAGGCAGGACACAGGCCCAGAGTAGCTGCCACGCAACCCTCGGCAAGCACTTTGTAATGCACATTTTGCATCCATTATTCAGGCACTAATCAATAGTTTTCGCAAGTCTCGGGCACGTCCACACCATTTGAGGGTGCCACAGCCGTCTAAATAGGTGAAAACAATGTGACAGCCCGTTGACAGAAGTAATTGTCCTGCGGTACCTGAATTATTTAGCGACTGAGTGAAAGTTGTTGTCCGTCAGGGGCAGGTGCCACCGGAAAGACAAAAGCTGAACAACAAAAATTCGATTTGGCCAGATAATAGTGTTTAGCGGCAAGTAGCTTTAAATCTTCCTCGAATACTAAGGGACATTTAAATAATTAAATACATGTTTTGCCTGTACGTTGACTGGAGATCTCATCCGTTTATCATTAATCATTTAAGAGCTTACCGCTCCACTGACCGGAACAGGCTTGTGAGCAAATCAGATCTTGTTTCGATAACTCCCGGGCTATCTTTAAAGGCGAACAGCGAGCCAGTGAGGAGCACACTCAACCAGAAAGGCTTTCAGTAAAGGAAATTTAATGGAATGCAATTCTGTTAATTTGTACATGTGTCTGCCTGGCTGTTTATTTGCTCTGTTGCCCCCTGGCAACGCCGCAAGTTGGTTTTATCTCCTGGCTGCCTGGAAGCAGGCACGGCAAGGCACGGCACGGCACGGACTCTACTCTTGTCGCCGTGTCATCCACGTCTACGTGCTTGCTTCTCCATGCATCGCTTACTCCGTGCGTCCTAATTAGTTGTGGATTTTTCAATGAATGCCAAGCCAGACCAGAGCCAGACCATGCCCATGCCCATGCCCATGCCGAAAAATCCAAACCCAGTCCCACAGCCAGACCCAGAAACGAGCTCAAAGCCACCGCCAGCCGCATGGCGACACTGCGACAAGTTGAATTTAAAACAAAATTTAATTAACAGCCTTGCAGTTAAATAAATGCTGCATGCACACGACGATACAAGGATATCTGTCCCATATCAGCGCCACCAATCCTCGTAGTCGTCGTATTCCTCTTCTGCTTCCTGCTCCTCCTCTGAGGAACCCGCCTGCCTGGGTCCCACAAAGCTAACAACTTTCTGAGGTAAAACTTGCACTTTGGCTAGATTTCTTTGCTTCTGCTGTTTGTAGATGCGGGACAGCATGGAGGGCACTGGATCACTGTCACTCCAGCCCAGGCAAAGGTATGTGGTCATCGAGAGAACTGAGAACGATAGAGCTACGAGTAGCAGGGAAATGTTTGAAAAAGTCTGATTGGAGGGACTCACCAAGCCATCCTAAAACCACACCCAGCTGCATGTTGACCAAATCCAACTGTTGATAGTTTTCTCTTGTTCGGTGGGTTTTATATCTGAAAATGTTTTGTGGAAGGAGGATTTAAAGTAGATTCCCCTCAAAAATCTTAATGTATTTCAATTTATGGATTGTTTTATAAGGCAATAACTTTCCCTTTTTATACCCCATTAATTGTGGAAGCTAGAGGGTCCATTGTGTTCTTGGCAATGTAATAATGAAGCTATAAGCTAAATAGGTTTTAATGTTCATAATTATGTTTTCATGTCCGTGGTTTTTGGATACCAGAAAACTTTACATTTCCATTCTTCATTTTTTACCTTCTTGATACGTTATAAAACCCTTCTCATAGTTTCTTACTAGTTGACAAAATAAATTAATCCAATTTTCGGGTACCTTACAGTCGAAAGAGCGTTAATTATACCCGGTACTCGAAGAGTAAATAGGCACAAATGTATATACGTTCTTGATCAGCATCAACAGCCGTGTTTATATCTGTCTTTCTGTCCGTCCGTCCGTCCGTCCGTCCGTCCGTCCGTGTGGTTTGTTATCCAGTTTTCAAAGACTATAAAAGCTAGAGTCACCAGACTGCTGTACGCTCACACTGATACAAGTGTCTTACAAAGGGCGAAAATCTGAGGTATCCACATGTTTGAAGTGAGAAGTGATGACATGTAGATGTAGATGACATGCATATGTAGCAAAAATGTAACATTTAAAATTAAAAAAAAAAAAGAAAACCGCTTAGGTACAGATGTAATACTGAGTACCTGGTATAAAAGTTGTGACGCGTAAGACGCGTCTCAAACGTCCCTTCTCGTTTTCTTTCTATTCTATACAATTTGATTGGTTTTCTCTTTTATTAATTGGAAACTTTACAGTGTTGATTTACCATCACATTTTAATGAGTCTTTAATGATATCTTTCGGTCTTTGAACAAGTTGTGTAAGCATGGAAAAGATAGTTTTTCCTTTCTCTTGAAGCTTTTGCATACATTCTGCACTCTATACTTTATTTTAATTCAAGAAAAAAAGTGCCGAAAAAACCTTCTCCCATTATCTTGAGTGGGAAAAGCTGCCATGCAGCATTTTCTTTTGCATAAAATTACAGTTTTTCCTTTCGCACACACACACACACACAAACAGACACATAACATGGGTGTTGTGTTGCTTGTGGCTACTCGAAAGTAGATTATGCTGAACAATGTCACATCACTGAAAAAGAGATGGTCCAACCGGCGGGGCAGGGCAGGGCAGGGCAGGGCAGGGTAAGCTCTGTTAATCTGGCTTGAAACATCAAAAGTTGAACCATAAGAAAATTTAAGCAACCGCCCTCGAGCAGGGCAGTGGCTGAAAAAAAAGGAAAGAGAACGAAGCCACACAGAAAGAAATCAACCATGAGATGAAATTGTTTAAAAAGATTTCTTTACACAACGTGCATCAAGTCCTGGGAGATTTGTGAAACAGCTTGTGTCCGGGGTCGGGTCGGGTCTGGGCTCGGGGCTCGGGGGGGTTGGGATTCTAGCTTCGTGTTGGACTTTTCGTGTTTGTTTCCTCTTGGTTGGGTGCAACTTTTGGCTCCCCAGTTGGGTTTTAGACAATTGTTTTAGTTGGATGTTTGTATTTTGCATTTCTACGCTCGCTTTACGTTGCGATGAAATCAATATGGAGGGAAAGTTTAAGACTATGAAATATGCATTTAAAAGATCCACCAAAGCGCTGCATTAATTCGACAAGAGGGGAATTCGAGTCGCTGCAAGACTCCCAAGTTTGGCGTTGATTTGTCAACCCCGTAAACTTTCAGTGAATCCTTTTTGCCATCCCCAGGATTCATCAATCAGAACTTGGCAAATTCACTCAACTGCCTCAAGCCATTTGCCAGCCACAACTTACAGGCGGACAGACAGATAGAGCTTGGCTCCCATCTAGATCAAGTTACAACGCCTCAAAGTAGGCAACTCCATTCAAACAAAACGCAGGACACACAATCCTTTGGCTCACTCCGCCGTCTCCCGCTTTGCCCTCCCTCCCTTCCTCTTGATGTCTCAGTTAACGTGCAATAAATTTTTGTCCCTGTCTAAACTAAAGTTGAGCTGGAGGAAAAAAGCATTTTGTGTCTATCAGGGCGTCTAATCTGCAGTCCAACCCATCTAACCAACTTACCACGTGCAATAAATTTCTAAGGCGCAACGTCTGCACTATTTTCCCTCTAGCCTGGAGACTTTTTTCCAAGGGAGCCATGGAGCAGGGGCAGGACCTGGCAAACGGATTTCTTCTCACTGCTAAGCCACGCGCCCGTACGTGATCTGATGGGGAATGAACGGCAACCGCAAACATAGACACAGCGACGTCTTAGCCGTACGTCGACATGTGTGCAAACTTTGGGCAAAGTCGAGTTGCCACATTTGCTTGGCCTAAAGAACACGCACCTGTGTCCTGCAGCAAGGCAAGGCAAGGCAAGGCAAGCCCAGCCCAGCCCACCCACTGCCACCCCGCCATTGTGGTCTTCCGGCCGCACAATTCGACAAGCATTTGGCATTGCGCTAATTTACTTTAAATTGGTTTTTTTGACATTGGTGTGCCTTCCACTTCCTTATACGAATTATCAATGATAAATGACTTGGGCTGGGTGTTGGTCTCGGTCTGCTGTTCTGCCGTTCTGCTGTTCTGCCGTTCTGCCGTTTTGTGCTCTTCGCCTGGAGGAGTCTATGGGTGTGGTGGTTCGTGGGGGTTCATTTTTTCAGTTTTAAAGGTTTAATGTCAGAAGAAGTACTCAGAACTTAGAGCAAGCATTTTCAATCAGTTGATAAATAAATTTTTTTTTTAT